CCCAAAGGACCTGTGGGGGGGGTGCCCCCCCCCCCCCCCCGCCCCCTTCCTTCTTCCCGCGCTCTTTTGCGCCCTTCACCCCCCCTCGCCCTTGCCGCCGAGCCCTTCGCCGCCATAGCCGCGCCTCACCCCCCCCCCCCCTCCCCCCCCGCCCGCCCTCGCTTCTCTCTGACTCTCTCTCACCGCGCCGCGTCACACTGCTGCGCCTCTCCGCGCCGCTGCAGGGGTCGGTCGAGTTCATGGACGACGAGACGGACAAGGCGTTCGAGACTCCTCCCCCTCCCCTCACACACACCCTTGCGACTGCCGCGGCGCTCTCCGGCCCGCCTTGGGATGTGTGGACGGGACACAGCCTCGCCCTGCAGCCTCGCCCTGCAGCCTCGCCGTGCAGCCTCGCCCTTGCCCGACTCGCGCGTGGAGGCGTCACCCTTGCCACCCGGCCACCGTAGGCGCCAAAGTACGGCGCTGGCGGCATCATCAACGAGTCGTGAGACCACGCAGCGCCCGCTGGTCGCTGCATCGTGGGCGCGTAGCCGCGAGAGGACTCCCCTCCGCCTCGCCGAGCCGCACGCGACTGCTGTGCGAAGAGAGCGGATGGAGCGAGAGACTAGGAGAGAGGCCGGGGCATCGGCCGCATCTCGATCATGGGACGCGTGCAAGGGGACTCTGTCGGTGTGTGGTGGCGCACAAAAAACCAGGCTCCTGAGTGGTGTGAGTGCGCTTCTCCCCCTCTCCGCCCGCCGGCGCCAATTGTCCCTTGCTATAAGTTCGTCGCATGTGGTGTTTTCGTAAAGGTACATTTTAGTTGTGTGTTGCGAGAAAAACGAAAAGTGGGCACACAGACACACAGTCAGGTCACCATGATTTGGAGTTGGACCATGTAGATGTGTGTACACACAGTACTCAGTACAGGTGACTCCACACACAGGTCACTCTCACAGCCTGCAACGTGCAAGGCCATCACTCACACAACAGAAGACCGAACTTCTTCACGCCTCATAGACGATCACCAATAGTAACTAGATTGGGATCCGCGCCCCCCTCCACTCTCGGGCCTGGCGCTTGGACCGTATCGGCAACACGCGGGGCCACCCCACATACGTAGACATCCCTGCACGTCCGACTCGATGCAGCTGCAGACGTGCAGCAGACCGCTCTGCCCGGTCTCAGGCGTCACCCACCAAGCGGGATGCTAAGTCACTCCTGCTTGCCGCCAGCGGGAAGCGCGAGGGCAAGGCGGTTGGAGAGCCGCGTGCGTCCAAACGCCGCCTGGGCTGCCGCGGCCGTGGTCTGCACACAGTCGGCCGCGGCAGAAAGGGCGACAGACGGGAGGTAAAAGAAGGGCAAGAGGAAGGGCGCGCGGCGCCCGAGCTCGACGCCGAGGGTGGCGAGGAAAGTTGCCACCCGTGCCCGTGCCGAGGTGGCGACGGAGGCAAGGGGCGGGGCCAGCACAAGGTGGATCGTCGAGACAAGAGCCGCGGGCGCTGCGAAGACGAACGCGAGTGAGATCGTCAGCGCGTTTGGCATCCGATCGCGCTTGATGACGACGCGCTTCGGTGGGGACAGGCCGTGTCCGAGCTCAAGCAGCCTTCCGACCTGCTCAGCGGCCTCAGCAACATCCGGCGGCGGGAGTGTGACGATCTCGTCCTGGTCCAACCAATACCGCTCGGCCGCCAGATCCTGAGAAGCACTCATCACTAGCGTCGAGCGCCGAACTATTGTCGAGCCCACCGGCGCACGCCAAGCAGCGCCCACGAGGAACACGGAGCTGATCATGAAGTCGATCGGGTGATGAGCAGGCAACGACTGCGCAGGGGGTTTTTTTTTATGCGCCGCTGCGAGCACCCACGGCCGAGCCGCGTGAGGATCCTGTCGCCAGTGAACCCTCCCCTTCCTCAAAATCAATCCCAGTTCGACGAGGAAGGAGGAGAGAGAGAAGGTACGCGCACAGACTGACTGACGTCAGCTCTGCACTCACTCAGAGGAAACGACGCACTTGTCGTAATTTTTCGTCAGCATTCTGCGTGTCGTAAATTTTCGTCAGATTCGATCTCTTGTCGCCGGACCTCGATTTCTTTCTCTTTGTCAGGCCATGTCGCATGTGCCGCTCGCTCGCGCCCGCCCAAGTGACTTGGACGCGCGGTCGAGGGGGCACCCCACCGTTCTTGGGACGCGCTGGCGTTCGCCAGATCGTCCCCCCACCCATCCACCCTTTTTACTTTGAGGCTGTCGCTCCGAGAAAGCTCGTCTCGCAGCTGCGAGAAGGTACGTTCCATGTGGGAAGGTACACGTCGCCACTTACTTTTCATCGCAATCCTTACACGCTCAACTTTACCGATAACGGCGTTGCCGCGGAGAGCACCAAGGGGCAAGGTGCAGCCGAGCTGTCCGAGGGAGAGTCTCCCTCGCTGCGCGTTTCCCCACCCGCCCGCGGTGTGATAGTCTCTTGTACTCCCCAGAGGCCCTTGCCGACGCGGGAACCCAGCCGCCCCAGCTGCCGTCGGGCAGGTGAGAAAGGTGTGGTGCTGGCCGTCCCCATGTTACCCCCTGGGCGTCTGCTTCTTCCTATCCCTCGTTGACGTTGTCGGTAAAAAGAAAAAAAAGAGCGCATGACTCCATCTCCTCCTCGTGACTTCACAGAAGTCAGCTTTTCGTCTAGTGACCGTGATCCCAGGCCGCCCATCCGCCATTGCGCATTGGATGCAGCCGAGATGTGCAAAATCCGAAACCGCCGTTTTATATCCAACCCAGCTGCCCTCCCCCTCGGACACGTCCCTCCCTGTCCTCTCGACTCGTTCCTCTAAGACTGATATACATATTTCTTTTGAGCGTTGGCGGTCGAACATCGTCTGCAGATCGTCTGGCGAGTAGAGACCACGCCTGCTATTCACAGCACAAGCTTTGTTTGCCTGGGCGGCTTCACGGCATGTGCAGCCTCCTTTTTCCTCACCCCCTGTGCAAGAAGATACGGGGTGTGGACCGTGAGTTGACCAGGGGTTGTGCGCCGGGCCCTCCTGCTCGGCTCCAGCCAGTAGACAAGTCTTGTCACTAACAGAGTAGAAGGATCTGACCTCGGGGCCGATGTGACCAAGCGCTGGTAGCGTGGTTTTACCTCACACCCATGGTCTCACAGTGTGCCGGCAGTCGCCGAGCAGTGTCGCTCACACAAGCCGCAGCACAAGTGACTGAGGGCCAGTGAGGGCGAGCCCATCGCTGTCACAGCTGTAGGACCCTGCCTCGTCCCCACTCCCGGCGTGACTGAGTGCGACTGTGCGAGGATTTTAGTGTCCGCATCTGTTTTTGCTTTTGGCGTGCTTCACTTAGGCAAACCCACCCCAGTCCCTTGGTAACTCTCAGCAAGACGAACCTCAACCGCTGTTCAGCAAAGCTTGAGGTGCTGCTCCAACTGCGCCACCTTGTCGACAAGCCCTCGGTCAACCGGGGTGATGCCGAGCGCCGCAGCGGCGCCGCGAACCGTGTCGGGGAGGCTGGGGCCCGGCTCCATCCCGATCGCCTCGCAGATGCGCCCGAGCCGAGACGGCAAGGATCCCCGACGCGTCGCTCGAATGACGTCGTTGACGCCTGCTGGCGGCGCCGTTGGCGTCGCCACCGCCTCTCCCACGTCCAGCCCTCCCTCGATCGCGCACGCCACCCGAACGGCGTGCGCTGCCTCTGCCGCCTCCCTCGCTGCGGCCGCCGTCGCTGCCGCCGCCCTCGACGCGAGCGCCTTGGCCTTGCTTGCCGCCGCAGTCTTGGCCGCCGCCGCCGCCGCCGCCTCGTCCACCTCTGCCTTCGCCTCATCTTTCTCCGCCGTAGCCACCAGTCTCGCCGCTGAAGACCTGGCGGACTCGCACAAGCCTTTGCTCTCCGCCAACTGCGCCTTCGCCGCCGCGTCGGCTTCCGCCTGCGCACGCTGCGCCTGAGCCTTCTCTCCGTCGATCGCCGCCGCCGCGCGCGCCTCTGCCTCGGCCGCTTGCTGAGCCACCTTCTCTGCCTCGACGACGGCTCTTGCCACCGCCTCGACCTCAGCGGCCGCCCTCGTCGCCTCCGCCTCGGCCAGCGGGTCCGCCTCTTCACGCGCCTGTTGCGGCAGCTCGCTTGCGGCATCGGACGCCGCGCAAGCCTCGACCTCGGCAAGCGCCTGCTCCTCCGCCTCGCGCCTCGCCTCGTCGTTCAGCCTCGCGCTCTCCTCCAGCGCCGCCTGCACCGCCATCAACTCCGCCGCCTCCGCCTCCGCTGCTGCCGCTTCCGCCGCTGCTCGACCGGCCGCCTCGCGCTCCAGCTGCTCGCGCCTCGCCTCCTCCTCGGCTGCAGACTTTGCCTCGCGCTCAGCCGCGAGCTTAGCTGCGAGCGCCTCGGCCTTCTCCTTCCGCTCGCGTTCTTCGGCCGCGGCGCGCTTCTCGCGCTCCTTCTCCAGCGCAAAGGCGGGCGGCGCGTTGCGCTGCGCCTTCTTCTTCTCCTTGGCCGCCTTCTTGGCCGCCTTCTGCTCCTCCACACGCACAAGCCGCTTCGCCTCCTCCTCTCTCGCCCGCCTCGCCGCAGCCTCCTCCCTCTGCCGAGCCGCAGCAGCCTCGTCGCCTTGCGAGCCGCGAGCGCTTCCCTCTGCGCCTCTCGCTCTGCAGCCTCGGCCGACGAGCGCTCCGCCTTCCTCGCTCGCTGCGCCGCCTCCGCCGCAGCGCGGTCGGCGGCAAGCTTCGCCGCGGTCTCGGCGGCGATGGCGCGCCGCTTCTCCTCGAGGGCGACAGCGACCGCCGCCCGCCGCTCCTCCTCCGCCGCCCGCCGCTCCTCGACCGCCGCCCGCCGCTCCTCGACCGCCGCCCGCTTGGCCGCCTCCTTCGCCGCCGCCTCGGTACGCCGCGCCTGCTCCGCCGCCGCCACCGCCTCCGCCTTCGCCCGCGCCTCCGCCTCAACCGCCTCGCGCAGCGCCGCAACCTCGTGCTCGCTCGCACAAACAACAAACAGGCACAGACATCAGACAGACAGACAGACAGAAAGACGCGAGACACACACAAGACGGGCAGACGGACGGCACACACACACTCACACACAAACGCCCCAGGCACGTGTCATTGTCAGGTACACTTGTCCCAGCAGCCGACGTTGAACCCCTAATCAGACATGACGACCGGGATGACGACCTCACGATAAACGGAAACGTAAAATCCGCTCCGCCCTCCACTAGTTGTTCGCGCGTCGGCTGGCGAATAGCGATCGCCTCGGCTCGCTTCTCGGGAGCTGGTCAGGTTGCATCCAGTTGTTCCAAACTCGATATGGCTCTTCGAATCGGTAGCCATCGCCCAAAGCCCGTCAGCATGCTGCGTGCGTGCCGCCCCAGCGCTCGCCCACTTCCCGACCCAGCCTCGCCCCCTCTCCTCGCAAGCTTCGCTCCTCGCGCTGGGTGCGGTGGCTTCTTCACAACTGACGGCCGGCGGCTTCGTGCCGTACTACACGTACACGGGCGACCTCGCCGTCTCGGGGACGGTCGGGCCGATGACGACGGCCGGCACAACGCAGACGTTTTACTACCAGCTCGACGGCGTCGACACCTTGTGCGAGAGCGGCGCGGGCAGTGCGGGCAACTCGTGCGGCATCCACATCCACGCCGGCAGGACGTGCGTCGACAACGCCCTCGGCCACTACTACACGGGCGCGGTGACGACCGACCCGTGGACGTCGATCGCGTACACGGCGACCGCCGCGGGCACCACCAGCGGCAGCGTGACGGTGGACACGGGCGCGGCCTCGACGACACTCGAGGGCCTGGCGCTGATCGTGCACGGCTACGACGGCGGGCGCATCGCGTGCGCGCTGCTGAGCGACGGCGTCGATTCGGCGCTGCAGGCGAGTGCTTTCGTGCCCTACTACACGTACACGGGCAGTCTGGCCGTCTCGGGCGTCGTCGGTCCGATGACGACGGCCGGCACGACGCAGACGTTCTCGTACACGCTGGTGGGCGCTGATCCGGCGTGCGAGAGCGGCGCGGGCAGTGCGGGAAACTCGTGCGGCATCCACATCCACACCGGCACTACCTGCACCGACAACGCCCTCGGCCACTACTACACGGGCGCGGTGACGACGGACCCGTGGACGAGCGTCAGCTACACGTCCGACTCGGCCGGCGCGAGCAGCGGCAGCGTCACCGTCGATACGGGCGCGGGCTCGGGCGAAGTGGCAGGGCGTGCGTTCATCATCCACGGCTACGACGGCGGCCGCATTGGCTGCGCCATTCTGGGAGCGGCGACGCAGGTCACGCTGACGGCGGACGGCTTCGTGCCGTACTACACGTACACGGGCAACCTCGCCGTCTCGGGGACGGTCGGGCCGATGACGACGGTCGGCACGACGCAGACGTTTTACTACCAGCTCGACGGCGTCGACACCTTGTGCGAGAGCGGCGCGGGCAGTGCGGGCAACTCGTGCGGCATCCACATCCACGCCGGCAGGACGTGCGTCGACAACGCCCTCGGCCACTACTACACGGGCGCGGTGACGACCGACCCGTGGACGTCGATCGCGTACACGGCGACCGCCGCGGGCACCACCAGCGGCAGCGTGACGGTGGACACGGGCGCGGCCTCGACGACACTCGAGGGCCTGGCGCTGATCGTGCACGGCTACGACGGCGGGCGCATCGCGTGCGCGCTGCTGAGCGACGGCGTCGATTCGGCGCTGCAGGCGAGTGCTTTCGTGCCCTACTACACGTACACGGGCAGCCTCGCCGTCTCGGGCGTCGTCGGTCCGATGACGACGGCCGGCACGACGCAGACGTTCTCGTACACGCTGGTGGGCGCTGATCCGGCGTGCGAGAGCGGCGCGGGCAGTGCGGGAAACTCGTGCGGCATCCACATCCACACCGGCACTACCTGCACCGACAACGCCCTCGGCCACTACTACACGGGCGCGGTGACGACGGACCCGTGGACGAGCGTCAGCTACACGTCCGACTCGGCCGGCGCGAGCAGCGGCAGCGTCACCGTCGATACGGGCGCGGGCTCGGGCGAAGTGGCAGGGCGTGCGTTCATCATCCACGGCTACGACGGCGGCCGCATTGGCTGCGCCATCCTGGGTGCGACTGTCGCTTCGCCGCCCTCATACCCCCCATCGCTGCCGCCTCCGTCGCCGCCAGTCGGCGCCTCGATCATGCAGGACCCGCACATGGACCTGGCGCACGACGGCCACGCCGACTTCCGTGGCAAGCATAAATCCCTGTACAAGTACTTGAGCACTCCGGGACTGAGCGTAAACGTCCTCATTGAGGAGGCGCTCTACACCCTGCACGACGGGAAGCTGCTCGTCAACGGCACTTACATGACGGAGGTTCATGTTGCGGCGCTGGTCGAGGGTTCTAGCCAGTGCAAGTGGGCTTACGTGAGCTACGTCGCCTCGCAGCTGAACGGTTCGTCGCGACCGCATGCGCCCACCCTGTACACGCCACCCCTGCACCCACCTATGGCAGTACGCGCCATCTCCCGTCGCCCACTGCAGGGCAGAACTGGGGCTGGAGCAACGTCAAGGGTAGCTGTGGTGGGAATGAGTTCAAGCTCGGCCCCAACGTGCGAGCGACATTCCCACATTCTCTCTCCCACTCCGCCACCACCGCAGCGCTCCGGACCACCGCCCAAGCCGCCGCTGCCCTCGCCTTTCTACACTCGCCTCGCCCCCATCCTCCGACCTCCGCCACTTCTTAGGCCAACCGCGGCTGCGGCGGGCTTCACGCCCGTGTCAAGATGTCCACTGCAACCATCACGGTGGCGCCGTTTGAAGGCAGCACGGAGGCGGCCCCCTGGAAGATCGTGGTGCATGGCGACCACGTCCACGACCGTGTCGCCGGGCCAGAGCACAGGCTCGACATCGAGCTCTCCTACTCTCCTCAATCGTCGGCGCCGCTGATTGCGCACGGCCTCATCGGCCAGTCATTTGCGGATCCCCTTCCGCGATTCGGACGCCTCGACGTCTACCCCGAGGAGGGAACCTTCACGACCTCCGCGCAGGCCGAGGGCGCCATCGAGGGCACGGCCGACATTTACGAGGTGTCCTCGCCCTTTGAGACCGACTTCACCTTCTCTCTCTTTGCGGGCGAACCCTCGCGCAAGGCGGGCACGGCAGACGCGGCGAAAGCAACCTGCGACAAGAAGCTCGCGGATGAGCTCTCCGACCTCGAGCAGCAAGGCAAGGTTTTGGCCATTCGCCCGTGGTTCCAGGCCATCAAGCGCTCGTTCCAACGCGCGGTGGCACCGCCCAGCGTCGTTGCCCGCGCTGCGTCGATCGAGGTGCGGCCCGGCGAGGGCCTGATGGAGGCGCACCGCCGGCTCGCGGAGGCGGCTTTGCCCCGCGCAGCGCAATCGATCCTGCTCAGTGCTCGTGCCTGATGCCAACTGGGTGGCTGAAGAGCTGTTCATGGCTCTGCGCGAGGACTCCCCCCCCCTCCCCCCCCCCTGGAGCCCCCCCAGCAAGAGAAATTTGTGCACGAGCGTAATCCCGTCCTGGTCAGTCCCGGTCCCGGTCCTGTCGTGAGAGAGTGGCACTGGCTCACAGGCCGCCTGATCGTAATTGTCTCTTTGAGCTCGCTCCTCCTCTCTAGCGGCGCCGGCGGCCCGTCACGCGTCAGCCGTCAGGTCACACATCACGACAAGGACTCACAACAAAAAGATCACGAGAGAGAGAGAGTAGAGTAAAAATCTAACACTCGCACGTTTGTAGTTCTTGACATTGTCATCATTGTCATCAATCAGTCTCATGTCCAGCAATGGGGCGAAACGGGTCAGTCCTCGCCCTCCCCCTCAGCCTCTCCGTCCGCACTGCCCTCCAGCACGGCGACCTCGGCGAGCGCCGCGCGCAGCACGCGCCTCTGCCCGGCGCGATAGGCGGCGCAGTAGCCCTCGCGCGAGAACTGCGCCGCCTCGGCGGCGTCGGCGGCCTCGCTCGACGGCAGGCTGCGCAGCCTCGCCTCGAGCGAGGCGCGGAGGAGGTCGAGCTCGTCGAGGGAGAGGCACGGGCCTGCGAGAGGGTCGTCCATCCCGATCACCTGCAGCGCGAAGAGGAGGAGACGAGGGAGGACGCCCTCCGCCTCCTCCTCCTCGCCCTCCTCCTCGCCCTCCTCTTCTCCCGCCTCCTCGCCCTCGCCGCCCTGCCGCCCGCCCGCGGCCGCGGCGACGGCGCCCCTCGCCTCGTGCGAGATGTGGCCCGCCTCGTGGCCCTCCGGCAGCGGCTCGTGCAGCGAGAAGGGCCCGATCCGCAGCGTGCCCTCCTTCTCCTCGCCGTGCGGCACGCCATGCTCCGCGAGGCACTGTAGCCGCGCCGCGTGGAGCTCGTCGGCGGCGCGCCCGCTCCCCTTGCGGCAGCCGACAACGATGCCCTCCACCGAGTCGAGCGGGTTCTCTGCCGACGCGAAGCCGTACGTGAAGAGGAGCTCGCCGTTGCCCTTTGGCCCGTAGTTGTTGTGCAGCGCCTCGCCCGGCGCCACGGCCTCGCGGCAGCGGAACCGCACCCCCCCTCCGCCCGCCTCCCACCCGATCGGCTGGCCGCACCTGTTCAAAGGATGTCAGTGAGGACGACGCCCCTCCCCCCCAGCCGCCAACCGACCCGCTGGCCCGCACACAAACCGGTGCTCCATCATGTCGTACAGCGGAAGCAGGCAGCCAAGCGTGCCCGCTATCTCCGTGCACGGACCGACGCTCTCCCCCGAAGGCGCAGCTGCCCCGCCCGCCGCCGACGCCAGCGCCCCCTCGCCCTCGGCCCCGCCGCCGCCCTCTGCGCCGCCGCCGCCGCCGCCGCCGCCGCCGCCGCCGCCGCCGCCGCCGTCCCGGCCTGTCCCGCCACCGCCGTCCCTGCCTGTCCCGCCGCCGCCGCGTGCGTCGGCGCCGTCGCAGTACGTGACGCGCGGCGCGGCTGCGCCACCGAGCTCGACCCTCAGCGGTGCGTCGACCGTGCTGGAAGCGAGCACCTCGTGCGGCAGCGGCAGCGCCGCCGCGTCGACGAGCGCGCGCGGGAAGCAGCGGCTCATATGCACACCCCGCGCCCAGAGGAAGGATGGGAAGAGGGCTGCGCCGTCGACGTCAAACGGCACGCGCGGCGCGGCCGTGGGAGCGACGCGTGCGAACTCATCTGCGAGGAGGCGCCGCTGGGCCTCCACCTGCGCGGCGAGCGGCGTCCCGGCCAGCAGCTGCCGTTGCGCGGCCGGCCAGCCCGTCGGGTCCGGCGCCTCGCGCGGGAGCGCTGCGAGGTACTCACGATGGCCGCAGCTCTCCTGCTGCGCCATCGAGGCGAGGGCGAGCCAAAAGGCGAAAGGCTCGCTGCCGCCCTGCGCCAGCGCGGCGCGTGCCACGTCGTCACTATGGAGCACGGCGACCGGGTCGATGATTGCGGCACTCGGGAGCAGGCCGATTGCAGCACCTGGCTCGAACGGCCGTGTCGCAAAGACGCCGAGGCCGCCTCCAGGCGACTCGCGAATCTCGAGGCCGTCCAGGTCCGCGCCGCGCGAGCGCAACCAACGGATGAGGCCAATGTGCGGCGGCTCCGCCTCGCGAGGTCGCTTCATGTGGGCCTGTAGAATGCTCTTTGGCCGGGCCGGTTTGTCGGCGGCCGACGACATGCCGGCCTTGAGCCGCGCAGGGAGCGGGGCCAGGTACCCCAGGTACCCGGGAACCGGAAGCCCCGATTTATTTTTTTAGTTAGAGCACTGGGTCGATAGATTAGCACTTGAGCACTGGATAGGGTCGATTCCGCGTGGTACGGGACCCCTCCGATCGTCTCGCCCTCCCTCACTGGTGTGTTGATTGGGGGGGGTCATCACAAACACGGTACAGGATCGAGCTTCGAGGTGCACGCTGCACGCGCACGCCGCTCTGAGGGACCCCGGGGGGTAGATCGAGCAGTGTCGTCCCCCCTCTCCACCATCTCACTGGGAGACGTCGGCGGCGGTGGCGGTGTGTGTCGGTGTGACCGATCGAGCTACAAGAGGAACTTGGTTCGGCCGCATGAACACGCGGGTCTCGCGGCAGAGACGAGAGACAGAGAGCCCGGGGCCCGGCGCACATGATCAGGGTGAGCCGAGCAACTCTAGTTTTAAGTTTAGCTGTACTCGTCTAGGCAGGGGTTGTGAAAATGGCTTTAAGGCACAATCACCGTCGCCTTTCCTTGGCGGAGGACGGGCCGCCTTTCCTGCCGCCGCCGCCGCCCTCCGCCTTGCGCTTGCCGCCGCCGCGGCCGGCGCCGAGCGGTGCGTCCGTGACGAGGACCGGCCGCGAGACCTCGGGAGGCTCCTTCGGCGGCAGGTCCGGCGCGAGAGACGAGAGAGAGGCCGGCCCGGCGCGCCCGACGCCGCCAGCGGGGACGTACTTGCGGTACCGCGCCTGCGAGAGACGAGAGGGGGGGGGGGGGCGAGACGAGATCCCTCGTGAGCCAGCCTCCGGACGGCCTGCCCCGCTCTCTCTCTCTCACGCAATCGACCCTCGCGCGCTCTGGCGCTCCAAGCTGCCCAGCGGCGTGGGCCGCACACTCTCTGCGGCGGAACTCGCTCTCCACAGTCTCTCTGGCGACGCCTTGGTGGACGGGTCTCCGCAATCTACAGCAGCGCGCCGCCATCTCAGCGTCGGCCTCGTCTCGCTCCGCGGCCTCCGCGTCCCGCTCAGCCTGCAGCTCGGCAGCCGCCGCCTCCTGCTGCGCGCGCTGCGTCGCCGCCGCCGCCGCCGCCTCCAGCTCCGCCGCGGCTGCCCGCTTCTTTTCGCCCAAATCGGCGAGCCGCGCCTGTGGGGGGCAAGGCAGGCACGCTGACACGCCCGGCACGCCTCTCCTCGCAAGCGAGGCGGCCCTCCCTCTCTCCCACCCCCAGCCCGTCCGCCCAACCCCCCCCTCCCTCCCTTGGGTGAGTAGTGCTCCTCTGCTGCCGCACGCACCTCGAGCTTTGGGTTGAAGGCGCCGTACGAGCGGCGGCCGGCGCGGAACTGGAGCAGGGCCTGCGGCCCAGAGAGCGCGGGCGGCTCGGTCAGCACGACCGCTGCCGGCGCCACCGCCAGCCCGCCCGGCAGATCGAGCCGCCACTTTGCGGACGACGACAACGACGGCTCGGCCACCGGCGCCGACTCGGGCGGCGCCGCGGGCTCGCCCTTGGAGGCGCGGTGCTTCTGCATGAACTTGAGGCCGAGGATGCGCGACGAGATGACCGGCGCGGCAGGCGCTGACGTCGAAGGATTCTCGGGCATGCTGCTACGAGTCGCGACCGAGCCTTGCGAGCGGCGTTAGAGGCAGCAAAAAGTGAGTCCGCGGCCCGCCCAATGAATTTTCTGCCGTCTCCCATATCTCCCTTGTTTCCCTGTTTTCTTTCTTTCTTCCGCCGCACGACACTGGGCACGGGACTGGCGCGCACTGACACTAACACAGGCACACAATAAGAACCGCAATGCGAAGGCGCGTCGACGCGAGCCTGCGGCTCGGTGGAGGGCTCCACGGCTCGGCGCGGCGGAGGTGCGCCGACTGCACCACTCGAGTGCGGGTCAGGAGGCCCTAAAACGGCGGGAGGGGTAGGGGTGCCGCTGTAGGGGTGTGGAGGGGTCGGGAGGGCGGGAGTGTAGACCGTGACCTAAAGCCCTCAAAACAAACCCTGTCTGCACGTCTCGCGCGCGCGTGAACAGGGCTCCAGGCCCCAAATGACGTGTGAGTGTTAGAGTTGTTTGGTATTGCTAAAAATCTCTCTCTCTCTAAGCCCTCCACCGATAGGCGATAGAAGTGTCAGGCCGCAGGGCCCCCAGGAGGGCACTCGGAGGGGTGGGGGCTGGGAGGGCTGGCCAAAACGCAAAAGCGAGGCGTAGGAGGGCTCGTGAGGGCTTGGGAGGGGTGGAGAGCTCGGAGGGGTCGGAGGGCAGGGGTCGGAGGGCAGAGAGGCACGAGGGTGGCGCTGGTCGGGGCTCGTGAGGGCTCGGGAGGGCTCAGAAGGGATGGAGTGCCCGGAGGGCTCGGAGGGGCGAGCCGCCGAGCCGGGCTCGGGGGGCTCGGAGGGCTCGGAGGGCTCGGGGGGCTCGGGGGATTCGGAAAGCTCGGAGGGCTCGGAGGGCTTGGAGGGCTGGAGGGCTCCAGTATAGGGCTCGGAGGGGTCTGGAGGGCTCGGGGGGCTCGGGGGGCTCGGGGGGCTCGGAGGGCTCGGAGGGCTCGGAGGGCTCGGAGGGCTCGGAGGGCTAAGAGGATCGACCCCTCCGAGCCCTAATGGAGCCCTCCAGCCCTCCAGCCCTCTGAGCCCTCCGAGCCCTCTTGGGGGGCAGTCACATAAGCCGCGACTTGGTTTTTTATCTTTTTGCGACCCCTCCCGGAGGGCCCTTCCGACCCCTCTCGAGCCCTCTCCCGCCACGAAGATCCTCCCTTGTCCGACAGTCCCTCCGAGCCCACCTGGCGTCCGGGGAGGGGGTTAGCCCTGTGGAGCCCTCCCGACGCCGATCCGACGGGGACCCCTCCAGCCCTGGGCTGGCGACTAGGTCCAGCCCTGGGTGGCGCAGGTTGTGACATTTGGCGATTCCGCGACTTACTGGGCCCCTGAGCCGCTACCCGTGTGCGATTTTTTGTGGCCCGGACATGATACTGATAGTAAACGGGTCAGAACCGGCCAAACACAGGCTACAGCCCCACACACGCGCCCGCCATAGCTCCTGGAGAGCATGCGCGAGTGACGCGCTGCAAGCCGCGAGAGTGGCATCAGAGGCAGGAACGACGTGCTCTTGCTGCACCTCGCAGCTGCACCAAGTGTGCTCGCAGTGTATGCCACGGCCACTGCCTGCGGCATTGCTCTCGTGCAGCTAGGCGATGCAGGTCCATCAGCAGGGCTCATCCAATGCGAGCCCACATTGTGCGTAGCCGCGGGCAGGTGGCAGTGCACAGCACACCGGCTGTGGCGGCTCGAATGCCCCCGGCAGTAATGCTGGTCATTAACCTGCGTATTGGGGCCGCAGCAGACTGCTGCTGTGGCAGCAGCAGCAGCCTGCTGCTGCCTGATTCAGTCAAGCCAGCGGTGCAGCGAGGCGTGCAGAATTCGCGCGGTTTTGTCCCTCCTGAGGCTGAGCGCATTCGAGCCCGTCGACCGGAGTTGGATGGTACCACGCGTCTCACTGAGACGCGGGGTACTGGCCATGGCCGGGCTACGGAGCGTGAGGTGGCGAGCGGAGCGAGCGACAAAACAACGAGAAAAACACGGATCTGAGGATTGTCACAAAACCTCAGATCTTGCGCCACCCAGGGCTGGACCTAGTCTGGCGAGCCCTCCGGTCGGAGGGGTGGAAGTGGGAGGGCTCGAAGACGGACGGACCTCTCTCTCGGAACTCTCCACTCTCGCTCCGGGAGGGTGGAGCCTGGAGGGATGCAGGGTGGAGGGGTGGAGGTGGTTGCTGAGCCCTCTAGCTCTGTCGATATACTCTAGCCCTACCCCTCCCGCCGTTTTAGGGCTTCATGCTGACCCGCTATGAAAGAGTGGGGGAGGAGGCAGCGCATGCTCCATACGTCTGACACTGAGGGTCCTCTCCTCTCCTAGACACGGCTAGCTCCGCCCACTGGCGTGCTTTGTTCTTGTCTCGCGTTTGCGCTTGGCGGCTTGCCCCTGCCCTCCCCGGCCTCCCCGGCCTCCCCGGCCTCCGCGGCCTCCGCGGCCTCCGTGCTTGTAGCCATGCGTACACAGCTTTTTGCGCTCGCCCCCGCCGCCCGGCGCCTCTGCGCCACCGCCGCCGTCGCCGCCGCCGTCGCCGCCGCCCTCCGCGCCGCCCTCCGCGCCGCCCTCCGGGTCGCCGCCTCCGACGCCATCACCGTCGCCGCCGCCACAGCCGGACGCGCCCCCGCACACCTCCATGCCAGCGGCCGCCTCCTCGGCTGCGCCATCGGGTGGGCGGCCGCCGCCCTCCACGCCCTCCGCGCCGCCGCTGGCGCTGTCGCAAGCGGGGAGGGGGCCTGCGGTGGCGTCGATGAGCTGCGAGGCGTGCGCACGTCTGAGCATGTCGAGCTGCGACGCGTCGCCTTGCTTGGACGGCTCAGCGATGTACCGGGCGGGCGCCGCCCGCCGCCGCCCGCTGCCGGGGCCTCGATCCACGGTCAAATCTCGATCCAAGTGGCTGTTGACGCGCTCCTGTTCACAGCACGCGGCGGTCAAGACTCGCCCTTACACCGCCGCAAGTGGTGGCCGGCTTGCGCGCCTCGCGCAAGCCGACCAGGTCGCGCAAGCCGGCCGGCTTCTTGCGCGCGGCGGCCTTCGGAGGCGTCCCTCCCTGCGGCGGCGGCACCTTAGCCGGCGAGACTCCCGGCGCCGGCGGCGCTGGGTCTCGGTCGCCTTCAGCCGCCGCTCGCGCCCGCGCCGCGGCGGACGCCGACCGCTCCGCGGCGGCGGCGAGCGCGCTGGGCGTCCGGCGCGTGCCGGAGTGGCCGGCGATCTGGCCGAGGATACCGCCGAGGGACGCCTGCTCACAGAGCCAAGGTGTGACGCGACACCCGCCCGCGGCAAGCCCGCCTCGCCGCCACAACTCAGAGGGAGAGCCTGCCCCTCGGGGACCAGCCCACTCAGCTCCCTGCCCCCTCTGCGCGGCCGCTTCGCGGCGCCACTGCTGCCGCCACCGCGGCCCTCTCCGCCGGCGCCACCCTCGCTACCGGCAATCACATCCTCGCCTTCGCCGGCCTGCCCCTCGCGGCTGCTCCGCTCGGCTCCCTCGTTGCCGCCGCTCGAAGTGCTTCGCATCGCACTCTCCACGTCGCCGCCGTCGCCGCCGAAGAGGCATCCGCCGCCCCTTGGCTCGTGACTGTCTGGGCGTGGCACACTGTCGCCCGCCATGCCGGCGGCTCCGTTGAGCTGCGCGTCACTGCTGACTCGGGCTTTCTTTTTGACCGCCTTCATCTCAGCTGCGATCTCGTGGCCGCCGGCGCCGTTGCCTGCCGGCACAGCGCCGCTGCCGCACGCTGCTGCACGCGGCGGGTGCGTGGTGCCGCCCCCTCCCGCGGGCGGCGGAGTGCGATGCGGCGGCGCCAGGCCCGAAGGCGGCACCTCCTCGCCCCTCCGCGTCTCCTCCTGCGCCTGAGGCCGCCTCTCCACCTGCGGCCACCTCTCGGGCAGCCGCGCCCTCTCCTCCTCCCGCCTCTCCTCCCTCCTGCCGTCCTGCCTCCTGCCGTCCTCCCGCCTTCCGTCCTCGCGCCGCTCCTCCCTCCTCCTCTCCTCCCGCCACTCCCCCCTCTGCCCCCCGTTCCTCCCCCATTCTGACCACCGGTCGTCCCCCCTCGCCCCCCCCCGCCCCCTCTCGTCGCCCCTCCACGCCCTCCAGCCGCCCTCCTCGGGCCGCCCCGCGCCGCCAGCCCGCACCTCGGTCCGCCTAGGCAGCTAGCTCTGGGTGAGGGGGAGAAGGGCAGCGAGCGCAGCCGGCGGGAGCGCAAGCGAGGGGAAGAGCTGAGAGCGCAACACCGGGGGAAAGGGAGAGACGGGGAGGCGAGAGTAGCGCGCCAGCCAAACGCCGTCGGCTGCGCCACTGTCGGCCGCACCGCCGGGGATGAAACGCCAGCGCCACTTCCGGCGATCGCCGCCCCCGCACGGTCGTCGGAGCTCCTGCAGTGCGCGGACGGCCACGAGCTGCTGCCGGCACCGCCGCCGCCGCCGCCGCCGCCGCCGCCGCCGCCGCCGCCGCCGCCGCCGCCGCCGCCGCCGCTGCCGCCGCCGCCGCCGCCGCCGCCGCCGCCGCCGCTGCTGCCGCTGCTGCCGCCGCCGCTGCTGTTGCCGCCGCCTGCGCCTGCGCACAGCGCCTCAGAGCACGCCGGAGCGTTGGCCTCCCCTTCCAGCGGCGGCGATGGCGTTGCCGACTCGCCGCCCGTGCCGTAGCCGCAACCGCTGCGGGCCGCGAGCTGCACCGGCGTGGCTTCCGCCTCCGCCATGATGAGGTCGAACGGCTTGGCGCGCTTGCTCGACTTGGACGCGAAGTCGAGAGCGGCGAAGGGATCGGCGGCGAGGGGATCGGCGAGAGGCTGCTCCTCCGTGCGCTTGAGCTTCTGCTCCTGCGCCTCCTGCGACTGCCTCTCGCTCGCCTGCCGCGCCTCGTGAGCCGCCAAGCCGCCCAGCCGAGACCAGCCCCTTCCCGCCCCCCCCGCCACTCGGAGCGACGCATCTTCGCCGGCCGCCGTCGCCGGCGCAGCGCAGACCACCTCCGCCGCACCCTCTCCGCCGCCGCCCCCACCACCGCCGCCCCCGCCGCCGCCGCCGCCTTCGAGCGAGCTCCGCCGGCTCGCCGCCACCACGCCGCCGTCGTCGTCGCCTCCACCGCCGCCTCCACCGCCGCCCACACCGCCGCCTCCGCCGTCGCACCGCCCGCCGCTGCGGGTTCGTTTGTTTGTCTGTTTGCTCGGCCGCCGCTCGCCCCGCTGCGCGCTGTGCCGAGAAGGATCGCCATCGATCCCCTCGGCCTGCCAAAGGGAGCCGAGGTGGAGCCGAGGTGGAGCCGAGGTGGAGCCGAGGTGGAGCCGAGGTGGAGCCGAGAAGAGCCGAGGGGGCCGAGAGGTTCCGTGATCGCACCCGGCGCCTGCCAATCGATCTCGAAGCATATCTCCCCATATCTCGGCATATCTCGGCGCCTGCCAATCGATCTCGAAGCCGCGTGCCGCTGCCGCTGCCGCGGCTGGCTCCGCCACCTCCGCCGCCGGCGCGGCCGGCGGCGGCGCCGCCGCGGGCAGCATGGCCTCGAGCTCGCCGCGGATCATGGCGTAGTCGGGCGCGCCGTCGAAGGCGACGCCCTGCAGGGGGACGAGCAGCGTAACCTCGTCGACTCTCGGCGAGTCTCGCCAACTCTCGGCGAATCGGGGACACCCTCGGCATATAGCTCTCGGCCGAATCTCGGCGACTCTCACCTGCAAGTGCCGGAAGAGCTTGCCCAACGCGCGCGGCATCGACGCCGCGCCGTCGGGTGCGCGCAGCTCCGCGCCGCCGCCGCCTGGGACCGGGCAGCGGCGAGGGAGGCTGCGATGAGGAGGCAAGCGTCGGGTACGGCGGTGGGGGCGGTGGTGGTTGAGGGTCAAGGGCGGTGCAAGGCGGAGGCGAGCCGTCAACGGAGTCGCTCGCGAGCGCAAAGTGCTCCTCCTTCATGCGCAGCACGGCCGCGCGGTCTCGGTTGGACGACCACGGCAGCTCGCCTATCGGGGTGGTCCCGGGGGAACGACTCGGGGAAGCTTCCGGAGCGGTGGGCAGCCATGAGGTGCAAACAAAGAAAAAAGCGCGCCGGACAGCAGCTCCATCAGCATGTACAGGAGCGACCACAGGTCGTCCGCGCGGCCCAAGTCCTGGTTCTGGTGCGAGCGGATGGAGGCGTACTTACACGTCCCGCGGAACTCGGCTGAAGCGCGCGCCTGCTCTCGGCGCGGAGCGGTGAGCTCGAGGCGAGGTCAGCAGGCGCGGCTGGCTGGCCGCGTGGCGGGGACCGGGTGCGCGACCCCGTCGCTGTTGCGCCACCGCCGCGCGAGCCCAAAGTCGAGGATGTGGCAGCGGCACCTGTTCACAGCTGGAGGTGTGAAGGCGGCGGCTGTTCACACCCCGCGAGCGGCAGCCTCGGAAGAGGCGGGGCACATGGCAGCTCCCAGGCCGACGCAAAAGTTGGACGGCTTGATGTCGCGATGCACCCAGCCCATCTCGTGCATCGTGCGGATGGCATCGACCATCTGCACGCCGGCGCTCGCGACCGTGCGCAGCGAGAGCCGCCGGCGCGGCGCCGACTTTCGGAGCTGACGCGGCGAGGGCGGCGGCGGTGAGGGCGGCGGCGGCGAGGGCGGTGAGGGCAGCCGCGGTGGTGAGCAGAGCAGTGGAGTGAGGCGCAATGCGAAGGGAGAGGGAGAGGACGCGCCTCGGACAGGTTCTCTCCGAGCAGCTGCATCGCAAGAAAGTGCACGGGGCCGCCGTCGGTGTCGACGCCGCGTCCCAGCTCGATGAGCTCCGCGCAAGCGCAGCGGCCCTGCAGGTCGCGCAGCACCGTCGCCTGCGCCGCGGCGCGTGTGAGCGGTGCGGAGCCAGCCTCCTAGGCCACCGGCCGCGCGAGCGCTGCTCCCATTGGGCACGTGCGCGCGCGCGGCCTGGGCGGGATATGGGCGCGGAGTGGCGAGCTCGCCTCGTGCCGCAGCATCCCGGCGCGCGCAGCATCGAGCGCCACCTTTACAGCGACAGTGCGGCGGCGGCCATCGGGACCTTTCTCGGAGCGCAGGTCGGCCGCCTCGTAGATCTCGGCAAAGGTGCCGCGGCCGACGAGCCGCCGTACGCGCCAGCGGTCGTCCAACACGGTGCGGCGCTCGAGCATGGCTAACTAACGGGCGAGAACTTGCCCGGAAAAGTTTCTTTTCAACCCGGTACCATTTGCCGCCTCCGCCAAGCTCTGCAGACGGGCCCCTCCACCCTCCCTGTAATCATGTAGTGCCCACATTCGCAATTGTGGGATTGCTTGTGTGAGAGAGTGCGTTATCCGCATTCTCTTTTCAAGAGTCGGAGCACCCCCGCTTCGGACGTTCGGACCCTCCCTCACCGACTTGCTCCGGTGGCACGGACATCACGCGGGGCTCTTTTCTTTTCAAGAGGTACCGAACTCCGATGCTCGCGCGGCTGCGAGCCGCCGGTCGGCGTCCTCCGCCTCCGCTCTGGCGTGCGGCGATCTCGCGGCGGGCGCTCTCCTCGGCGCCCCGCGAGGGCGAGATCGACATGGAGCGCTTCGATGAGATTGAGGAGGACATGCAGGAGGCTTTCCTCGAGCGCTTTTCCGGGCCTTTGCCCAAGCTGCGCGAGCCTCCGACGCCGCCCGCAGACTCGCTGCCGCTGGAGACGTGGGCGCCGCCGTCGCTGGTCTCGGCCGAGTACGAGCAGAATGTGCTCTCGTTCCGCACGCGCTACTTTCACGACTCGTCGGAGTGGACACCACCCGAGACGAAAAAGGCGAGCCTCCCTCGCGGCTCTCCCACTACTCTGCTCCGATCTTCCTCCCCCCCCCCCCCCTCCCTGTCACCCACCACCGGGTCCCACCGCCGCGCAGGTTGTGCTGCGCGTGATGCCCCACCGACTCGGACTCAATCGCGACGAGCGGCGTCGGCTGCGTGCCGTGGTCGGGCTCGACCGGTGCTCTCGGCAGCGGGCCCTCACTGCCAGCCTCACCGCCGCCCTCTCCACCGCACCCCTCCCCTCTCCCCTCACCCCAGGTACCCTGTGTCCAGCGGCCAGCTCAAGCTCACCTGCTCGCGGCACGTGGAGCCGCACCGCAACAAACAGGTGCCCCTCCCCCTCCCCCTCCCTCTCCCTCTCCTTCGCCGGACCTCGTCAGACCTCGGTGGACCTCTCGGCATACCTGCCAACTCAGGCCCTGCGCGAGATGCTCGAGCTGCTCATCGCCGACGCTAAGGCCAACCCGCAGCGCCGCGACGCCGACGACGCACAGTTGCCCCTCGCCGCCCGTTCCCGGCCATGGCCGCGCCACGGGAAGCGGCGAGGGCGCAGAGTGCGGGCGCGGCCTCCGCTGCCGCTACAGACGCCGGGCGTGCATCGCACGCATGTGGACTGAGATTTCAGACAGACCAGAGGACAGGGGACCGCGCCACACGCTCTTGCGGGCGCGTGGCTTGTGTAGTCTCTAGGAGTGTAAAGACTGAGATATGAAAAAAATGTTCGTGTTACGAAAAAGGGAGTGTAAAGATATGAAAGCAGCGGTATCGAGGGGGCGTTCCCACCCGCTCGGCCGCTCCCGCTGGTGTGTTGGCACTGTCCACTGTGCTGGCCCCGCGCCGGCGGCGGCCGGTGCGCTGTTCTCCCACACACCCGCTGGCGCCCCCCGCCCCCCGCCGCGCCCCCCACATGCCCTGGTTCGAGTGGAGGGGGTGTGTATTCTCTAGGCGTAGGATACTTTTAGCTTACTGGGAGAAAAGGGAGAGGGGGTTTTGTGTTCTCTAGGCCCCAAAGGGCCCTACGCGCGGCGTGAGACTGACATGAGAGAGCTCGGAAGCGAGAGCTTTGCACGGCGATCGAGGATGGCGCGGTTCACCCCCTTCACCGAACGAAGCGATGGAGATGCGTTCCGCGTGGTGTGACACAAATGAGAGGCGGGAGTGGGGAGGGTACGCGGTGCGGTCAACGCCCGAGCGTTGAGCCTTGCACGTCTCTCTCTTAGGCGTAAAGATTGGTCGAGGCGCTCCCTTTTATCGCGCCAATTCGCCGCCCCGCCCAAAAAGTCTCATCGATCGCGGCGGTGTCGCGACAATTTGTATGAAGGCGCCGGCGACCACCGCAAGGGCAGAGGCCGAGGTGTGCAAGACGCCGGCAAGCTTACGAGCACGCTTGGTCACCCTACTCAACGCCGTTCTGCTCAACGAGTTCGACGACGCGATTTGGGCAAAGGCGGACGATGACGGCGCCGCTACCGCCGATGCGCGAGTTTCAGATTGCAAAAACGTCGCCGTGAATAAGCAATTAGCCTCCGTGGCAGAGCTTGATGTCTGAATCGTTCGCGTGGACTCAAACGTACGGATTTTGTCAGCAAGCGCGAGCATGTGGCATCCGCTATCCCCGCATTTTTGATCGGTCTGGATGGATAGCATACTCGTGGCTTGATCTTCTTCTGTTTTACAGAAGCAGATCGTGTTCACGATGCCCAGCGCGCACGAGGTTACCGCATTCACAAACGGCGGACATTAGCGCTACTGCCCAGACTGTTGCGTGAGTGGCATTTTGCTGGCATTGCTGGCAATGGCAGCGCCAACCTTGACTCCCTCGGCCTCGCTCATTGTATGCGCGGGTGGCCGGCGCCAGCTCACGGACACACAACTGTAGCGTGTGGCGCGTGAGCAGTGCAAGCTGAGGCGTGACTTCTCGGGCGGGGGAGCCGAGAGCGGCCAAGGGCGCGAGCGTCGACGGACATGCACATGCACATGCGCACAATCATGCAGCATGCACATGCACATGCTGCATCTGGGCTCCGACACGCCCTCGGAGTTTATGTTTTAATCCGAAATGAAATAAAAAAAAACAGACACACCTCCACTAGGAGATGGGTAAAGCAGACGCGTAATCTCTCCTTTTGAGCTTCACCTAGACTACTCCACTATTACACACGGCGTTGATTGATGACATGAAAATATGTGCAGGGTGTCAAGGTACAAGGACAAGGTCCACCCGTGCCTTTGCGCTCCCGTTCGCGACTGCCTCGTGCAGGAGCACGCGCAGCGCCGCGGCCACGTTGGGCTCGCTGGCATTACAGTTCTTGTTCTCGTAGCGGTCAAAATCAGAGCCGTCGTCGCCGACGTGCGAGTACAGCTCCTCGCCAATGTCGGGCCAGCGCGGCTGCTGCCAGACGGACCGCAAGCTGGAGCCGTTCCACGCCGCCCACTGGGTGAAGCGGTGGGTGTGCGTTCGAACCGTGTACCCCATGAATGCGATCTGCGAGCGGTCGGTGAAGAGGCAGTCGTTCGCCTTCTGGGGCTGCGCCGCGTCGCGCGGGCAGCGCATGTATTGCGAGAGCGCACGGTGTTTGAGCGCCCTCGCGAGCGCCGCATCAGCTGGCGCGCGCAGCACGGGCGCGAGCGAGGTGCCGTCGAGACTGGCCGCCGTTTGTGGGTCGAGCGGAGCGCCCGCGAGCTCGGCCATGGTGGGAAAGATGTCGATCAGCTCGGCGAGCACGGAGCTCCTCGTCCCCACGCTCTCCCGCACCCACGGCGCGCGCATGATGAGCGGCACGCGCGTGCCATGCTCGAAATTGCTGAACTTTTGCCACTCGCCGTGCTCGCCCAGCGACCAGCCGTGGTCCGAGTGCAGCGCGACGAGCCTGGAGCGCGAGCACAGGCCGCGAGCGCGTGACTACAGCGCATGTACCGCTGAGCGAGACAGTGCGAGCGGAAGACAGCAAACGGCGTGTGCAGTGTCGGGTGCTCGTCACAACGCCTCGACGTTCAGCATCTAGCGCGACGAGCGTCGTGGGGGCCAGGCCGCGTGCCTCGAGCTCGTGGAGCACGCGTCCGATCTGCGAGTCGACCCATGCTATAGCAGCGCGATAGTGCCGTCGCCACTCGTGTGCCGTCGCATTTGCCACCTGGAGTGTGAGCATATCATACAGTGCTCAGCTTGCAATGAACAGCCTGCTTTCTGGTGCTGGCATACAGGGGCACAGCGTGTTTGGCATCTAGCGTTGGCCACAGGTGTGTAGATGTGCGGCTGAGGCACAGCGTCGTGGTGCGCAATCGGCGGCACTGTCGGGCTCAGCGTGGGGTGCGCCGCCACGTCACCCTCGACGAGCGCCAGAAAGGGCGCGGGGAAGCGGAAGGGCAGGTGCGGTTTGCGGAAGCCGACTGCCAGGAAGAAGGGCGTGTGCATCGCTGCCAGTCGCAGCTTGAGCACCGCGTCATCGGCAATGACGCGGTCACAGAACTGCTTCGTCGTCAGCGGCGAAGCGATGGCGCCGCTCATGTCGGCGTCGACCGCGCATGCGTCGGGGTCGGATGGAGGCAGGCCAATCTTGCAGTCCCACATGTTTGCCACGTCATTGACACGCTGCATCGAGAGACCCGGCGTCCAGCTGGGCGGGTCTTGGTTGGGAGGCATGCCTGGGCCGTTGAGGTTCGGGTTGGTGTTGCCCGAGCCTCCCTCCTCGGTGTGGAAAATCTTGCCCGAGGAAAGCGCAATCCACCCCGCCCTCTTGAAGTGCTGCGGCAGCGAGACCCACGCCGCCCGCGTGCTCAACGTGCCACGCGCGCCAGAAACCGCCCCGCTGTCTGCGGCCCGCGCGCCGGACCTCGCCTTTAGCATGCACGACGAGTTGGTGTGCGTGTAGGTCCATGCGCCGCAGCGTTCGTCTTCGGAGCAGATCGAGCAGCAGTCACCGCTCCCGCCGCACGGGGCGGCGCCACCCCACTCGCACCCACCGACCGTGACGTTCCGCAGCGTCGGGCCAAGGTACGCCACGCCGCCCTCGGTGAGTCCGCAGTCGGCCTGGCGGAAATGGTCGATAAAGTTGAGCACGCGTGAGTGGTCCGGCCGCCGGCCGGTGAGGAAGGACATGCGCGACGGCGAGCACACCGAAATCTGGCAGTATGCATTGTCAAACGTGGTTCCGCTGCTGGCAAGCGCTGAAATGTGCGGGGAATGGCCGCGGGGCTGCCTGTAGGCGGCGATTTCAGGCCTAAGGTCATCGACAAGGAGATAGAGCACGTTCTTCGCGCCGGGCCCGGGCGTAGTGTCGCCGTTGCGCTTCGACACGCTGGGCAGCCGCAGGTAGGAGGAGCAGCTGCAGTTGTTCACCTGCGGCGAGCGCCCCGCTGCCTCGACGCTCTTGAGCCAGCAGCATCCGCCGGCAAGAGCGCATGTCTCCCGGTAGTAGCTGCACGCCGGCGCGTGCCAAGAGAAGAGCACGCAGGCCGGATCGGCGGAGCACAGCGCGCTGCATGCCGCGGCGGAGGCTGAGGCGAGTGGCATGCGGTGCAGGTCGCCGCCAGGCATGTTGACGCCGGGCTCGCAGACGGGTGGCGATGCTGCGAACGCCGTGGCGGCGGCAAAGGAGGCGAGCATTGCAGCGACGCGGCAATGCAGCGACGCTGCGGTGGCAGTCCGCAGCCGTACCGTCGCGCGCGAGTAGGAAGAATTCAGCAAGCATTCAGAGCGGAGTTCACCACGAAAAACGAGACGTTCCTTTTTACAAGCCTTTTTCAATATATGAACATAGAGAAGAGAAAGCCCCCCCCCCCCCTCCCGAGAGAGAGACGTACCCGAAGACTGGGGACAGGGTTTGCGAGGGGGAGGGAGTTTTTCGGTATCTAGATCCGGTGATGGATCTGACGACGTGACGAGACATATCGGCGCGGTAATCGCCGATCGATCGGCAAAACTATGGCGCGCGAGCTGGAAATGGAGGACCACTACACGCGGCTCGGCAGCGCTGGCTCGCGCCTGCCCACAGCTGTCATCGGAGCAGTAGGAGCAGCCGTCCTCCTCACAGTGGGGAGCGTGGTGCACCTGTCGCGGGACGTCAGCGAGATGCAGGACGCGCACATACAGCTTAAGAGGGTTAGGGGGCCCACGTTCAAGCTGCCCTGTGCCTACGATAGGCGACCCTGGCCGCACAGCTGCAGACGCAAGAGAAGCTCATGGCCAAGCTCGAGCGGCAGGCGGACGCGAGCCCGCAGTCTCTCTCGGTGGACAGCGCAATGGCGTGCTTTTGACGACACCGCAGGTGACAGCCTCAGAGGGAGGCTCTTGAGCCCCCCTCGGCCGCATAGGTGTCGAGCAAGATTATCAAAAAGGAGATGGACCTGGTGAACGCAAAACTGCTCCAACTCGAGGCTGCTTCAATGCCACCAAAGTTCCTCATCTCCCACGTCACACCTTCCGCCGACCAAGGGAACCGCGGCGATTGCTGGATGTTTTCCACGGGCGGGCTCATTGAGTCGTCGTACTTGGACTATGGGCTGAAGAAGGGCTGGCTGAACGGCTCCACCTACATGAAGCTGAACCGCCAGGCGCTGGGCGTCGCCATCATGGAAGAGTGCAAAAAGACGCCCGTGGGGGGCTGCCCAACAGACGAGGACCCGTCCAAGCCGGGTGGCTTCGCTTTCGGCAACACTGATGAAGGCAAGGACGGCGGTGACGAGCATATCTGGGCGCAGCTCGAGGGGATGCAAACTCCCAATACAAAGGCGGTCATCCCAGGATATTGGGAGGGCTGTGAATATGTCACCACGTTGCCACCGACCCCCGAGGGGAAGTTCAAGGCAGAGCGCAATTGCACGGGCCTGATGGAAGTACGTAAGAAGAACCCCCTTTCGTACAAGGTGACTGGCATGAAGGCACACTACGGTCGTGCCGATATCAAGAAGGCCCTCGTCGAGCTCGACAAGACGCTCAGCCTCGGCATTCAGATCGCCTTTGCCTCGTGGTTCCAGCCGTGTGACAAGCGGTACCATTGTGACCCAAAAAACCCAACCGTCGTCGATCACACCGGAACCTTGGTTGCGACTCAGTGTGTGCCCTGCCCAACAGAGAGGGTCTTTGCCTCGGTCGATTGCTGCGTCTTTGCGCAAAAGGCCATGGTCTCGATGCAAGGCGAGTGGTACATGCAGGCGACGGAGCCGCTCATCACCGAGGGCGGTCACGCCGTCTCGATTGTCGGCTACAACGATCACTACCGCGATGAACACGGGAGCACAGGTGGATTCATCCTCCGCAACAGCTGGAAGGACGGGCTTGGTACCTCGCACGGCCTCAAGGCGCGAGGGAGTCACACGGCCGCATACTACGCGCAGCTCCTCTCGCCGGCGGACGAGTCGCAGTTTTGTCCCAATCCCAACAGCCCGCGCAACTGGAACGCCTGCGGCGACGTCAAAGCTTGCAAGAGCAAGATGACAGAGATGACCGTTGCGGTGGCGACCGACGGCACCGTCGTCACCCTGAAATGCCAGGACGGCGGCAACGCAATCCCCAAGGTGTGCACCGCGAGCCTCTGGACACACCTGCGTGTCGCTCGCCGGCCCTCGTCACACTTTGCTCACACCCCTCCTGGGCGCAGGGCAACTGCGACCCCAGCAAGGATTACTACCTGGTCAACAAGACGGGCTGGGACCAGCAGGGGCTGTACACCACCTGCTACGTCTACGACAAAGGGAATGAGACCGACGCCTTCATGTGCCTCCCGCCGCTGACGCTCGACGACGTCGCCACCGTCTTTGTGCCCAAGGAGCTCCCACACATCAACGACCCCGAGATGTGCGGCTTCAACTTCATCTCCTACGACACCTTTGAGAAGATCGGAGCCACTCTGGGCATCTCCACCGTCTCAAGTGCCGCGCGCTCACAGCCTCGAGTATGGCCGCCCGCCGCCTGCCCCTCGCCCTCAACGACCATCCGCCACCGCGCACAGGTTTCGACGTGGAGTGGACAAAGTGTTCGTACCTCGTCAATGAGGAGCAATGCCCGAATTACGACTACTCCTATCTGAAGAAGGCCATGATGCCACTCAAGGTGCCCTATGAGAAGCCGACTGTCTGGTACACGCCGAACGAGTAGTGAACGGCACCGAGCAGTTCACGCGTGCGCTGCCACGTTGCCAGTCGTGAGGCCAGGCTTGAGCAGGCGTGTACCGTATTTACGCGAGTGGAGTTTTGGGGGCGGGCGTGGCGAGGAGCTGTGATCATGACACGGACGTGGCACGTGTGGCGCTCTCGCGTCTTGTGCACGTCGAATTTGCATCGTCTTTGCAACAGAACATGCCCGAAAGCGAAACGCGCGCGCCGCGCCGAGGAGAGAGGGGGGAAGAGAGCGGAGCGGAAAACAGAAGTGAGAAGAGGAGTAACGAAGAGGTGTACACGCGAGAGAATCGGGGATGACCGATCGTGGATAGTGGGAGCAGTAAGAGCAGGGAGGCACCACATCCGACCACGTGATGTTTGTGTGTCGACTGTGTGCATCACATTAGACTCTAAAGGCACACATACACACTCACACAACGCGCACACAAAAGCGTTCTTGATATACACACATATTTTTGCACATCGTACATGTCAATCACTCTGCTGCATTGATCTGGTTCCTCTCAATAACTCATTTGTGCATATCGGATTCCCCCAACACGCCAATCGGATGAGCGCCCGCCGGACCAACGGCCGGATGAAGCGAGTGCACTCCCGGCTTCATCGTGAGACCCTCCAGCGCCAATGCCTGCAACGCACTCGAAAAGGCCGCCGCCGCGCCCGACGCGCTCTCAGCGGTGGGGTTTGCGTCGCCGTTCTGCGCAGTCCCGCCCGCTCGCTCATGATCGCGCTGCGCGGCCGACGGCGCGCCGCCGGCATCGCCGAGGTGCAGCGCGAGCCAGCGTGGCAAATGCTGCGGCAGCGCCCGCCGCGGCTCGGGCCTCCAGGCTGAGACAAAGCGCGACACGTGGCTGGGCGGCAAGTGCGGTACGTCGCCGCCGTCGCGGGCGAACCGCGAGTACTCGGCGGCCGCGGCGGTTGCGGCCCAGCGCTGCAGCTTGCGCAGGCACAGCACGACGGTGCCGGTGACGCAGACGCCGTCGAGGCAGTGGAGGTAGACGGGCCCTGCATCGAGCGCTACCAGACGAGACAGGAGCGCGTTCACCTTCTCGTGTGAGAGGACCACCTCCTCACGGAAGGGCGCCACCACCTCGGCGTGCAGCGCGATCCCCTCCTCCTCACACCACCGCACCAGGTCTGCGCTCGGCGGCTCGGGAAGCAGCGAGATGACTGTTTTGAGCCGCAGCCGCGCGAGAAAGCGCAGGTTGATGAGCGAAGGGTAGGCGCCGCGGTAGATGCCCTCCTCAACCATGGCGAAGCGCAACGGCGGCACCAGTGGCGGCGGCATTGGCCAGAGCAACACTGCTGCGCTGTCCAGCAAACCATAAAAAGAATCTGCCGAAAAAGAAAGAAAAAAACAATCTCTCGACAAGTGCTCTCGACCCCCAGGGATGCTTTTTGTTTTCCAAATTCCTCTCTCTCTCTCTCTCCAAAACTCACCCAGAACTCTGGCCAGCCGCCTCTGAGCTCTGTGTCGTCAGTGGGCGCTGCGGCCGTTCGTCACTCCGACAAGGCCTCGAGCGGGTCCGTGTGCCGTAGCCCTGACAGGACGGCCACAAACTCCTCGTAGTCGAGGGTGCCCGACTTGTCCACGTCCAGCGCGTCGAAGGCGACTGCCGCCTTTCGCGCGAGCGACTCCTCGTCGCGGCTGCCCCCCGCCGGCAAATTGCGCCCGACGCACTCCATCGCGCGCAGCATCTCATCGCGAGAGATGACTCCGTCGCCTGTGCAGACCATATGGCCGTGAAGAGACGCCGTTCACAGCATCTCCTCGCGCGGGACGCCGCCGCCGCCGTTGACGTCGAGCGCGGCGAAGGCGGGACGCAGCTCCGCCTCAGGCGCCTGTTCACAGGGGCGGGCGTGAAGGGGCGCCACCCTCTGCATACGCTGGGTCTCCGCCGGGCGGCCGCCTTGTACTCGCTCACCGCCTTGGAGCTCATCAGGCGCACGAAGGTGGCGAAGTCGAGCGAGCCGCTCCCCGCCTCCGCCTCGCCCGCCTCGCCCTCCGCCTCGCCCTCCTCCGCCTCGCCCGCAAAGCTCGTCCGCGCGTGCTCGAGCAGCGTCACGTAAAAGTCGTCTACACCGTCACCGCCTCCGCCTCCGCCCTCGCCGCCTCCCGTGTCGCCTCCCATCCCCCCGACCGCTGCGGCCACCGCGGTGAGCTCGGACGCGTCGATCCTTCCGTCACCGTTCCGGTCGACGAGCGAGAAGAGGTCTCTCAGCTCCCCCACCTGCTCACGCAGACAACCGTGACGAGGCGCCCTCTCCGCGGCAGCGCGGTTTCTTTTTCCCGGCGCTCGCACTCGGCGCGGGTCCGACTCGACCAGCCGCTGCAGGTAGGCGCGGTTGGCGTCGTCGCCCTCGGCGAGGTACTCCTCCAGGTGGGTGAGCGCGCGCAAGAAGCCCGCCATCAGGCTGAAGCGCACCAGCGGCGACACCGCGCCGGGAGTGATGCGCAGCGTCTCGAGCGTCTCGAGGTGGCCGCGCGGACCGGTGTATCTATCCATCTCCTCCCTCAGACGTTTGGCGGCGGTGAGCCGCGTGAACGTGAAGCGGTTTATCCGGCCGAGCGACGGGCTGTAGAAGTGCACGGCCGGCAGCGCGAAGACCCGCTCGCGCATCGCCAGCCGCGGGTTCTCCTTGAAGTTGACCTTGAAGAAGCGCACCCGCTCGTACCGCGCTTCGGCGCCCATCCGGCGCACCTCTCGCGCAAAGACGGGAGCGACGCTGCGGCACGTGCGGCACCAGGGCGCGTAGAACTCGACGACCGCGAGGCCGGGCACTGCGCCGACCTCGGCCGCAAAGTTGGACTCGTCCAGCTCAACCAGCCGCAAAGCTGGCGCAGCGGCGGCACGGGAGGCGGCGGGCGGCGCGAGAAGCGGGATCGCCTGGAGCCGCAGCGCGACCACCGCAAGGACGAGGGCGTGCGGCATAATCGTTTCGTGAGGTTTAGAGTATCCGGCGTGGCCTTCGCTGTGTATATTCACAGCACGCCACTAGGCAACCTAGAGCCCACGGTTCCCTGGGGTCGCCTCGTGAATAAACGAGTATAAAGAGCGGTGCTAGAGTACAGTCCACCCCCCCCGTCGAGGAAGGGGCCTACTCGAGTATAGTCCACCCCTGTTAGCCGCGGCCGCATGTCCCTCGACGCCACATTAGGTCCATTGGATTGAAGCCTGGCTCCTCTCGAAAGGTGAGGTATAGAGGGTTGCATGGGGAATGCGAACTCGTTCGTCATTCATGATGCGCGGCGACGGCGGCGTCGATGCCGCGCCTCCGGAATCCTTTGAACGCATCTTCCACAGTGACTAATTAGTGTGGAATGAACGTCTCATAACTGCCCCGTCGGCCGTCCGTCTCTGCCTGCCCACAGATCTTTATGCGCCAGCTCGCGATTTGCGCTGGCCTCCTTGGGGCGGCAGCCCACAACAACTATAACCACGTCCACCCGCCACCGCACCCTCCGAGCACTCCCCCCTTGGCTGACTCCGATAGCGACGGCATCGTAGACATCTTCGATGCAGATGGGGGCACAGATACAAACAGCGACGGGATACTAGACAAATACGAGGAAATAAGCAAGTCATCGCTCCAACAACTCATCAACTACCTGGAATCATCAACGATCCCTTCCCCGCCCCCGTCGCCGCCGCCCTACCCTCCGTCAGGGAACCCTGAGCCCCCACCGCCATCACCGCCGCCGTTCCCGCCTCCGTCGCCGGCTTCTCCCTACGTCGCGCCCGGTCCACCGCCCCCTCCACCTCAACCGAGTCCGCCGCCTCCTCCGTGCGACACCAGCTACTGCTACTACCCTTCCCCGGATATCTGGCCGGCGCCAAAGCCTGAGCCATGTGTCGCTGAGGCGCAGGTCCGGTGCTGCATCGACAACTTGTGTGATGGTCTCGGCGGGATCCAGCTGATATTGTGCGAGGCAACTGCCTCGAACATCTGCTGCGACCGCTGGCCGAGCGGTATGGACACCTCGCTTTCCCCCACCTGCTGCGTTCGGGACGGGACCTGCCGTTTCCCGCCCCCGCCGTCGCCGCCGCCTCGCGTTGTCACCCCACCAATGCCGCCTCCGCTGTGGGGGTGCACCGAAATCGAGGGCGACAGGCGCCGAAAGTGGGCGTCGGGGAGTTGCGAGGATGTGGTCGTGTACGTCGACGACGGCCGGTTGGATCCGACCTTGATGTGCGACCGGTTCTTTGTCGAGGTCCCTCCGGGCGCAGACTCCGACATCATGTACCGGCTCTGCAGGGCGAACCCCAGGTACTCCCACGATTCAAGCACGAATCCCAACCCGTGCATCAGCGACACAATCTTTGGGCCGTGCGTCTTTTCGCTGCCTCCACCACCGCCGCTGCCTCCGCAGACGGGGTGCACCGACATCGCGCAGCAAGGACGCAAGGAGTGGGATCAGGGTACGAACCCCAGGTGCGAGACGGTGTACATATACGTTCCGGAGTCGCCGTTCAACCCGACCGAGTGGTGCAAGGAGTATTTTGCTGTCCTCCCCGCCCCCCCAATGGCCTTCACCATGTACCAGCTGTGCGAGCCGAACCCGCGGTACGACCGCGACGGCGTCGAGCCCGGCACACAAAACCCGTGCGTCGGCAGCACCGCCTTCGGACCCTGCAACTTCCTACCTCCCCCTCCGCCCCCGCTGCCCCCGCCGCCGTCGCCACCGCGCTTTCCCACCCTGCGCTCCCCGCCGCCGCCTCCGCTGACGGGGTGCGACGAGATCGTGACGCAAGGGCGCGTGAAGTGGATTTCGCATTCCTGCACGGACATCCCCACCTACTACATTCCACAACAATACCCAGGCGACTACTGTGAGAACTACTACGTCGAGCTCCCCGGTATCCCGCCCATGTACGTGCTCTGCGAGGCGAATGCCAACTATCCCAGGGAGAGCAACCCGTGCGCCCCCCTCAACGGCCCCTTTGGACCGTGCGTCCTGAACGTGCCGTCGCCGCCGCCGTCGCCGCCGCCGCCATCACCCCGCCCCTACATGCCTACAGCCTATTCCCCGCCACCGCCACCGTCGCCCTCTCCGCCGCCACCGCCCTCTCCGCCGCCATCACCCCGCCCCTACATGCCCACAGCCTATTCCCCGCCACCGCCACCGCCGCCCAGTCCGAGGCCGCCGGACCCGTCGCCGCCGCCGCCGCCGTCGCCGAGGCCCTACATGCCTACTCATTGGAGGCCACCGCCGCCCTCGCCGAACCCGCCGCCACCTCCACCGTCACCCTCCCCTCCTCCTCCTCCTCCTCCTCCTCCTTCTGCTCGGCCCCCCCCGCCTTCACCATCCCCGCCGCCACCGCCATCGCCTTCCCCGCCTCCGGCCTGCAGCGAGCGCTGCTTCGGGCAGTCGTGCAGGGCGGTGCGGCACATGCCATGCGGAGCCCTCGAGTACATTGGCTGCGACTGTCGCGGCTGCTGCAGCGACGTCCCGTCTACAAGCGTGGCGTGCGCCGAGGGCACCGAGTGGGACGAAGTGGTGGACGCCTGCGTCATCTCGTGCCCCGGCCGCCGCGCGCTCAGCGAGGAGGAGGTGCAGCAAACCCTTCCGCTTTTTCGGCTTCCGGCGTCCCCTTCAAGTGAGGGTGGGGACGTCGGGACGCCATTCCCTCGCCCGCCCCAGCGCCGCATGCTCCTGCAGCCGTGCCAGGAGGAAGCGGTCGCTCAGCACTGCGGCACAACTCTCTCCCCGCCGCCACCACCTCCGCCGCCATCACCGCCGCCACCTCCGCCGCCACCTCCACCTCCATCACCGTTGCCAACGCCGTCGAGCGACTGTGCCCCCTACTGCTTCTCTTACTCTGACGCAGCCTTACACGCGCCGCTACCGCCGCCACCGCCGCTACCGCCGCCGCCGCCACCGCCACTGCCGCTACCGCCGCCGCCGCCACCGCCACTGCCGCTACCGCCGCCACCGCTGCCATCGCCGCCACCGTCGCCGCCACCGCCACCGCCACCGCCACGGATAATACTACCAGATTCGGAACCGGCGCCGGCGGGTTGCGGCCTCGACCAAGATTTCACCAGGACCAAGACGGTAATCGAGTATTGCGGCGCCGTCGGAGGCAAGAGCGGGCGCGACGAGGAGGGCCGGCGAGAGAGGTGCCTCTCCCACTACGCCAGCGCCACAAACAAAGGGAGGAACTACGTGTCCGAGTGCATTTACGTGCCACACAATTCTGGGTTTCGGTGCAAAGCAGCGTGGCCGCCGTTCTACGAGTGCCCGACAGTTCAGGCGCGGAGCAGCCAATGCCATGTTCAAGGCGAGTGCGTCGTCATTGCCTTTGTGGCGGCCATGCAGCCGGCGGATTGTGACGATGCGTTTTGCAACTCGACTTGCAGCCGCGTCGCCACCCAAGGTGGCGCAGAGGCGAGCGCCTGCGAGACGGTGTGCTCCCCTTCGGCCCGCCGCCGCCTGGAGAGCAACAGCAGCATCGGCACCCTCGCCGTCACGGTTTCGATTGCGGCCACGTCGCCCGAGGCGGTGGTCCGGATCGAGTCCAACGTGGCCGCGTTCCTGTCGACAGCCGAGGCCGCCTCCGACTTTCTTGACGTGGTCGTCATTGGCATCCCGGAGATGACGCCCCCTTACAACGGCAGCCAGGAGCCGCTTGCCGTGATCATTGGCGCGACTACCGGCGGCGCGGCGGCAGCAACGCTGCTTGCTCTCGCCATGCTCCTCGTCTGCCGCAGAGCGCGGCTCCGGTTCCGTCCGGCGCTGCGCAAGGTTGAGCCCGATTCTGGCCAGCATCATTCCTCGACCCCCACCCCGGCTCTGCCTCTGGCTGCTTCGTGAAGATACGCGGGGAGGGGGGGGGGGGCGGCGGCCATGAGAATCGGAACAGATGAGACTCAGACACATGTATGTATATACGTGCTCAGACTCAGTTTTACGTGTTAAGATGATTACAGTAGACGCATATACAGAGAGAAGGCAGTCGCGATCTCAGAGTCTCTCTCTGCGTTCGGTTATACTCTGTACACCCTGGCAGCGGGAGCGGCTCGCCGAGCAGGACCCCTTTGCCAGCAGACGAGAACGAGCACGGATGGCCGAGGTTGACGGGCGAGCCCTTCTCCTCCCACTCCTCGGGCGCCCAGCAGCGCATCTGCACCGAGTGCAACGCGCCCGAGGCGATGTGCTCGGACAGCACCGCATTCACAATCTGCTGCCTCTCTCGCTGCCTCATGCCGCCGAAGCGGGACGCAACAATGAGGACTTTGAGCTCACGCCCGCCCGCACTCAAGGCGCGCCCGTCCCGCGCACCGTCGGCCGGGTGCCCGTCGGTGACGTCGCTCACGCACAGGTAGTGGACAGGGGCCACTGCAAGCTCAACCTCGCGCGCCCACGTGGAGACAGCATCGTTTGCGGAGGCCTGCCGGTCCGACTCATTCGAATCGGCGGTCGGTGCAGCGTCGCGCGTACTATCCTGCTGCGCAGCGTACGCGCTATACTCCTGCTGCATCTCTCGATAGACGCCGCCACTGCCTTGCATCCAGCTCGGCTTGTACGGCTTCCGGGTGGGCTTCCACGCCGCATCGCATACTGGCTCTCCTCGCTTGGCGTCAGAGATCAGGCGATGATGCAGAGCGAGGTGGTGAGTCGGGGCTTGGAAGCAAAGCATCCCTGTGACGAGGAGCAGCATTTCGTTTTAGAACCAGGTTCATGTGAAGAGCTGGGGGCGCGCCACCCAAGAGCCTAGGTAGGTGCGGATCGGCAAGAGCGCAATCGATCTTTTTGCCCTCTATCACCTTGGGTTGTAAGAACTTGAAACACACCACGCAGGGGCACAGCAAGCACGGATAGCCGTTGAGGAGAAAGGCGTAAGGTGTATGCGCCACCTCCCGCGAGCGCGGCGGGATCGGAATTGCGGCTGGAGGGAAGGGCGAGCCGCCGCCGCCGCCGCCATATACCATCAGCGACGACGACCGCGGCTCGCCCCAAACGCCAGGCGCTGGATCGGCAGTAGGGCTTGGGCGGCGCAGCGTAGGCCTCGAGCCACACGAGTCGCCGACAACCCCCCCTCATCGACGTGATGGCCGCACCCGCTGCCGGCCGATGCAAGCTGCCGCCTCCACCGCACCAGCGATACTGGCCGCGGCTCGCCGCCACGCGCCGGCTCGGAAGAGGGGCTATCGGCGGCGCAGCAGAGCGGCATGCGTCGTCATTCGAGCAGCACCAGGTCCCCTCTTCGACGTGACGGCCGCTCCCGGAGCCGGCCGGTGCGCACCCGACCCACGCCCCCTCTCGCACCCCCCCGATCCCCCTGCGCGGCGCCCCCTCCACTGCGCGCCGGCTCGAGCGCCTATTGCCAAATCGCGACTTTCGAGCGCAGTGCGTGCGCCCCACACGTCACGCGAGCGCAGGAGAGCTTGCGGCAGAGCAGTACCGTGTACTAGCCGGAGGCATCGCGCCGGAAACCCCCGTATTCCGCCCCAACAGAGGCTGCAGGAGGCAGATGGCCAATAGCGACAATCGTTACGAAATGTAGCGTTACCGGGAGCTCTCCAAGCTGTCTTGGGTGGTAAGCAGAAAAAAGTGCCGGAATCCTACACAAACCCCTCGCACGACGGCCGACGGCCGACGGCCGACGGCAGACGGCAGACGGCCTAGGGCTCGGCTGGGCGCGCACGCGCACGCGCGCGCGTCGCGCGCCACGCGTCGCTCCGCGAGGGCGCGCGCCAACCGCGATTCGAACCGGGGCCAAAAGGCGCCTGGAGCGACCGCGGTCCGGTCGCGCCACCGCGGCTGCGGGGCTGATAGAGCAGGCCGGCTGCGGCTCCTGATGTACCTCCGCTTTTGGGTGTCGTCGAGTGGTTAGTTTCTTTAAACCCTTTTTCGCTCAAAGCCGCTTTATGGCGCGCCCGCCCACGGCCACTGATAACCAGCTCGCTCTCGCGCGTGCTTGCGCTCTGCTCGCCGCAGGCGAGAATATCATTGACCACCCGACCGGCTAGCCCTGCGCACCGGTCGCACGCCACCAATCGCGCGCACGCAGGCGGTAGGACTGCCGGACTGCCGCTTGAGCGTGACGCTCAAGTGCCCCCCGCCCGGCCATCGTAGTCGCCATGACCGACGAGATGGACCGCAAGTGCACGGCACTGGCCAGTATGGGTGCTGAGGCGGCTGCCTCAAGCCGGACGCGGCCTGACGGCCCTTTGTTGCCCGCCTGGTGTGCTTCTCCTTTCGCCATCGCAACGCGCCTGCCGAGCCTCCCGTCTGCGACGCGTGCCGGTTCCGGGATTGCAAGCGGCAGTGACCTTTCTCTTGTGCTTGCGCCCGCTTCCGCCTTCAGTGCCTTGGACGCCTCGGCGGTGCACCTCTGAGTCGCATTGGGAGGACACAGGACAGCGACCCCGCACGCCGACCCGCCGCTGTCTCTGAGCGTAGCGGGATCGCCGACTTGGTCGCCCCGACCGCCGCTGCCAGCCGCTGGCGTGACCGCGTCCCTTTTGTCCCTTTTGCTGCCCCTGTTTGCTCCCTTTTCCCTCGCCGCGTAACTTGCGCCCCTTTTGAAAACTTTTATTTTGTTATATTAAACCCTTTTTTTTGCGGCTTCCCATTCCTGTTGTGCGAGAGAGATCCCCTGTGCCCTGTGCCCAGCCCTCTCCGCGCGGCGATGCGCCCTCCCCCCTGGCTAATTGCAAAATCAGAGACATATACGAAAATCCTCCGCAAAGCCAAATCGTAGCCCAAAGGCAAAGGTGGGGGGGGGGGGACGTGTCTGTCCTCGACCCACACGATCCAGCCCGCTGCTTGGGATGTCCGTTTTATTTATTTGTTGTGCAGGAAAAGAATTTGCCGGGCGGCGTGAGAGGCGCGAATAGGTCAGCGGTACATTTCAAGCATACACCCATATTGGCCCCTCCCCGCGGCGCGCGCTCTCCGACAACGTCGATCACGCGTCCACAAAACATGGTGTCGGCGCGGACCACCCTGCACAGCGCCATGCCGTCCCCAATCTGCAAGCACAGGTGCGGGGGACTCATTCCGCCTTCTTTTTCTCGGCGGAGCCGTCCGCCGCCGCCTCGCCGCCGTCGCCCTCTGCGCCAAGCCCGGCCGCACGCCGCAGCGCCGCGCTGAGGGCCAGCGTGAATTGGCGGCGGCTCGAGTGGCCGTGCCACGCGATGGCGCCGTCGGCGCCCACGACAAACGCGTGAGGGACCTGCGCCATGAATGCACCAGCGTCTTCGGACCGCGTGAGTACGAGGGATGCGAATGCGGCTGAATGCGGCTGAATGCAGCGGGATGCAGCGGGATGCAGCGGGATGCAGCGGGATGCAGCGGGATGCAGCGGGATGCAGCGGGATGCAGCGGGATGCAGCGGGATGCAGCGGGATGCAGGTGAATGCGTGTCATCTCGAGCGCTGGTTGGGCGACAAGAGCACGTCTTCCGCTTCTAGGGCGAGGGGCCGGCCGGAGCAGCCGCCCGCAAAAGGCGGAGAGGTACCTTCGGAAAGTTCAGAGACGATTCAGAGACGGTTCTGAGCAGCCGCCGGCCGCAAAAGGAGGAGAGGTACGAGTCCGACGTCGCCCCCGTGGCGTCGCGGGCGATGGGGGCGCCGGCGCCGGCGCCGCCCAGAGCGCCCGACGCGTAGGCCGCGACCTAGAAAAGAAATACGGCGGCCTTGAGAAGACCAGCTGCGTGGGCCTGAGAAGAGACACAGAGTAAGCCCGCGAGCTAAGGGAAGGGAAGGGATGGGAAGCTTCTCACACACACAAGGTGGTGGGGCAAGGGCCAGGGCAGCCCTCGCGACTCCACGTCTAGACGACAGGAGCCCCACGGCATGAGAAGGGCAGGGCCCAGTGCGCGTGGGTGAGCGGTGTGTGTGTGTGTGTGTGTGTGCGTGTGTGTGTGTGTGTGTGTGTGTGCGTGTGTGAGCGGTGTGTGTGTGCGTGTGTGCGCGCGTGTGTGTGTGTGTGTGCGTGCGTGCGTGCGTGCGTGTGTGTGTACGTGCGTGCGTGCGTGGGTCCTACGAGGTGCGTGCGTAGGTGCAGGAGGAGACGTCGGCGGTCTAGCAGGCCGAGGAGGAGAGGTGGGGAGAGGTGGGGAGAGGTGGGGAGAGACGGGGAGATGTGGGGGAGATGTGGCGAGATACGGGGAGATATGGGGAGACACCTCGTCGGCGGAGGCGCGCGAGATGAGCAAGAACGAGACGGGGAGGGCGCGCGAGCTCACGTACGCCGCCTGTGCCGAGGTGCAGTGGCCGAGGTGTGTGTGTCAGTCAGCCAGTGGTACACACGTCCTAGCAAAAGACGGAAAGACGCAAAGGACGGGGGCATTGCACACGAGGCGGTGTGTGCGTTCTCAGGGACAGGCATCACCACACAAAGTGGCCCCCACTGCCGAAGTGTGTGTGTGGCGGGAGGTGAGAGAGAGGCGTGAGGGGAAGCGCGCTTGGGGGCGAGAGAACGCGAGAGAGCCCAGCAAGGCTAAGGCCTCGGGCGCGAGGCCGGAACCTTCTCGGAACCTTCTCGGAACCTCTCGGAACCTTCTCGGAACCTGCTCGGAACCCTCTCTGCAGGCGCCTCGGGCGCGGGGCGAGTGCGGGCGCGGGCGCGGCGGTGGAGGGGTGGTGAGGCGGGGGCGGAAGGGGAAGGGGGGGGCGAAGGGAGGCGAAAGGGTGTGGTAAGGGGGTGTGTGGGTGGGTGGGGGGTGAGCGAGGGGGCGAGAGCAGCGGCGGCGGCGGCGGCGGCTGCGGACGGGAGGGCGGTGGCTGCATGTGGCAGGGCGACGGGGACGACGGCGGGGGTAGGGCGGCGGTAGGGACGGCGGCGGCGAGGGCCGGGTGGGGGCGGCGGCGCTGCGAGCGGGCGCGTGGAGGAGCGTGTTTGGGTGGCGCCTGCACGCGGCGCAGCGCCGTCACGATTCGCGGCCCGAGGCTCGCGCCGCAAAAGACGAGGACGTGCACCTTCCCGGCCGCTAGAGAAGCCTTGGGCAAGAGATGCCACGGCTCAACTGGGCTACGGCCCTCGCGCCGGCTGCCAGCGCTGCCGTCGCCGTCGCCCTCGCCACCACGATCCGCCGCGCCGAGCTCGCTTCCCGACACCACCTCGAGGCCTTCAGCCAGAGACGGAGCGGGCTGCCCCACGCCCTTCCCCGCCGGAGGGTAGCCAACTCGCACGGCAACCCCGAAGAGAAAAGGCGCGGCGCACGTCGCTGGGGACGCGCCGGGCAGCAGGCCGGCGGCGAGAAGCGCGGAGAGCAGCACGCAGATTAGCTCGATGCCTCGCGCCCAGGCAAGAGAGTCCTTCATCGCCAAGACACCCGGCCAGGCAAGAGCGGCACAGCTCTCCGCTTGGGTTTTGTTTTTTATTTTCCTCTTTGAAGCAAACGCTGATTTTTCAGTGTACGTCTCTCTCTCAGCTACGTACTTTTAGCTTACTGGGCTTCTCTCTCAGTGTACGTACTTTTAGCTTACTGGGAGAAAATAGAGAGGGGGTTGTGTTCTCTAGGCCCCTAAGGGCCCTACCTACGCGCGGCGTATCTAGCTCTAATAAATAAATAGAGCAGTCATCTCCAGGGAGAGATGGGCGACGCACACGAACACAGAGGGTCAGTGCGCACCCCGCCCCGCTCGCAGGGCGTGCAGCACACAGCAACACAAGACATATCTAGGCGCTGTGCGCCTCCTCGGGATTTCTGGGGAGGTAGGAGTGTGTGTGTGTGTGTGTGTGTGTGTGTGTGTGTGTGTGTGTGTGTGTGTGTGTGTGTGTGTGTGTGTGTGTGTGTGTGTGTGTGTGTGTGTGTGTGTGTGTGTGTGTGTGTGTGTGTGTGTGTGTGTGCTCGCTCGCTCGCTCGCGCGCGCTGCTTGCGCGATTGCGCGCGCTGCACGAGCCGCCCTGCCGCTGCGCTGCTAGGGATGCGCTGCGGGAAGGGCTCGGCGGCCGTTCCTAGAGCTCCTCGTCGCTCCCCTCGTATAGCGAGGGCTCGTTGGACTCGAGGCGTGGACCGCCGTCGTAGGGGGAGCGTGCGGCTCCGCGGGCGACGCTCGCCCAGTCCTTCTTGTTTGTTGCTCTTGAGACTTGACCTCGCCGCCGCCGCCGCCGCGGCCGCGGCCGCCGCGCCCGCGCCGCCCGCGGCTTGTGCCCAGCCTGACCGCGCTCGGCATGCGCTCGTAGATGGTGTCCTTGAAGGCGGAGTGGAGGAGCGCCTCGAAGTTGACGTATCTAGCTCTTACGTACATTCCCGGGCGAGCGACTTTTTATAAGGGCGGCCCAACCTCATTGTCGCTCGCGGTGAAGTCCCGAGGTTGTGGGCCGTGGGCCCACAATGCCGATCGGTGGGCTGCAGGCCTCGAATACGCCACGCTGTCTAGGATTTGCGGGAGAGGGTCCGTCAGCCGCCCGCTTGTGCGTGTAGGCCGCCGGCTTCGACATCAATGCCGAGGCTATCAACCTTCCGATCTTACTCACGAACCGGCACGCTGCAGGCTCTGGGCAGTTTCCTCACGGCCGGCTCGGCTCACGCGGAACTGTCCCTCCCCCGACTGCAGCGCGGGCACCATTACCGACTTCAACTCGAGCATGAAGCAGTTTTTTGACGGGATCTCGGCCAACGTCGAGGGGCTCTCGCTCAACAAATTGCCAGGCCTCTCCAAGGGTGCGGGCACGCACCCTCGGCGATCCGCGAGCAGGCGAGCCGCGCGACTGACGCTGCTCGCCGGCGTCCCCACCTCCCGCAGACGGCCAGGCCCTCGTCGACGAGGCCGTGCGCGACACGCTCGCCGGTCAGCCGTCTCGCTCGTTTGACCTCATCTTTCCGACGCAATCTGGGTCCATCTCGGTGCGCCACGCGACGCGCCGCCGCGATCCGCGGGCTAGTCGCCGCCACCGCACTGCCGTGGACTGCTCCGCTCAGCCACGAGCCAGCCCCCTGCCGCAGACTGCACGGCCGCCAACAAAGCCCGCAACTCACCCACCCACCGCACACGCGCGCAACGGGCACTGAGAGAGCGGGCTCGGGCGGACATGCACCGGCGGGCGGCCGCCCCGGGGTGCAGACTGCAGTGCGACCGCGCGGAGCGAACACCTCCGAGGAGCCAGCCCCACTCTGCAGCGCGCGCGCGAAGCCGCAAGCTCTGGCGCAGGCCGGCCTCCACTGTGCCGGGCGCCGCTCTGGCCGCGCCGCCGCGCCGCTCTGGCTTCGCCGCCCGCCACCGCTGGTCTCGCGTCCTCCGAGCGCCACCACACCGTGGGCATGGCTCCGTGCCGCGACCCCGCAGAGGCTGACGCGCATAGAGACGCTCCGGCGCATAGAGACGCTCCGGCGCATAGAGACGCTCCGGCGGCGGCGCCTGCGGCGCCCCCCTCTCCGCCCGCCGCCCCTCCGCCGCTGCCCCCTCGGCCTTGGCCGCCTTCGCCACCGCCCGCGAATGCGCCGCGCCTCCGCCGCCTCCGCGGCCGCCGCCGCCTGGCCGCCGCCGCCGCCCCGGCCGCCGTTGCGCCGCGCGCTCGCGGTTGCACCGCGCTACCCCTCCTCCGCCGCTGCTGCCTCCGCCTGGCCACATGCCATTTTGCGTTGCGCCTCTCCAGCCGCGGCGCTCCGCCGCACACACGGAGGGGCATTCGGGCGGGTCCGACGGGGACCGGCGGCCGCGGGTGGTCGCGGAATGCCACTCCCAACGCGATCGCGGCTCAAACCCCAAACTCCAGCACAGCGCACCTTGCGCCGAGATGCAGCCGAGATGCAGCCGAGGGGCAGCCGAGATATGGCGTGCAGCAGCGCCTGAGGAGCTCCTCAGGCGCTGCTGCTCCGCCAGCGTTGAGAGATGCGTGCGCTCTCGTGCGGATGCTGCGCGCGCCTGCTCCGCCCCGCGCCTGCTCCGCCCTGCGCCGCTCTGCTTCTCGGGCCCCTCAGGACGAGAGAGTGGCGGCGTCAGTCATGGGTCGTCTCGCCCCTGCAGGTGCTCCTCTCCCTCTCGAGCCGCCGGGACGAGAACGGGAAGATCGTCGGCGTCGTCGGCGTCGGGCACGAGACTGTCGAGAAGGCTGAGCTCACGCGCGTCGCCAACGACCTGCAGCTGCTCATCGACACGGCCAACGCGCCCATCTTCGGCATCGACACCAGCGGCTTTGTGAACGAGTGGAACCGGAAGGCGGCGGCCATCACGGGCTTCTCGCGCGAGGAGGTGATGGGCAAGGACCTCGTCAGCCGCTTCATCACGCCCGAGTACCAGGACTCGGTCGGCGAGGTGCTGCACAAGGCGCTGCAGGGCGAGGAGACGGCCAACTTCGAGTTCCCGCTCTACACGAAGGATGGGGAGCGCGTTGAGGTGCTTCTGAACGCGACCACGCGGCGCAGCGCGACAGGCGCCATCGTCGGCGTGGTCGGCGTTGGCCAGGACATCACCGAGCTCAAGCGCGGCCAGGCGGAGCTCACGCGCGTCGCCAACGACCTGCAGCTGCTCATCGAGACGGCCAACGCGCCCATCTTCGGCATCAATGCTGAGGGTCGGGTGAACGAGTGGAACCGGAAGATGGCGGCGATCACGGGCTTCTCGAAGGACGAGGTGTTTGGCAAGGACCTCGTCGATGAGTACATCAGCGACGAGTTCCGCGAGTCGGTGCGCCAGGTCCTCGACGACGCGCTCCACGGCCAGCAGACCGACAACTACCAGCTGCCGCTCTTCACCAAGGATGGCGACCGCGTCGAGGTGCTGCTGAACGCGACGACGCGCGTGGACGCGGCCGGCACCATCGTCGGCGTGGTCGGCGTCGGCCAGGACATCACCGCCATCAACCAGTCACAGGCGGAGCTCACGCGCGTCGCCAACGACCTGCGGCTACTCATCGACACGGCCAACGCGCCCATCTTCGGCATCGACACCAACGGCTTCGTGAACGAGTGGAACCGGAAGGCGGCGGCCATCACGGGCTTCTCGCGCGAGGAGGTGATGGGCAAGGACCTCGTGCGAACCTTCATCACGCCCGAGTACCAGGACTCGGTCGGCGAGGTGCTGCACAAGGCGCTGCAGGGCGAGGAGACGGCCAACTTCGAGTTCCCGCTCTACACGAAGGATGGGGAGCGCGTTGAGGTGCTTCTGAACGCGACCACGCGGCGCAGCGCGACAGGCGCCATCGTCGGCGTGGTCGGCGTTGGCCAGGACATCACCGAGCTCAAGCGCGGCCAGGCGGAGCTCACGCGCGTCGCCAACGACCTGCAGCTGCTCATCGAGACGGCCAACGCGCCCATCTTCGGCATTGGTGCCCACGGTCGGGTGAACGAGTGGAACCGGAAGATGGCGGCGATCACGGGCTTCTCGAAGGACGAGGTGTTTGACAAGGACCTCGTCGATGAGTACATCAGCGACGAGTTCCGCGAGTCGGTGCGCCAGGTCCTCGACGATGCGCTCCACGGCCAGCAGACCGACAACTACCAGCTGCCGCTCTTCACCAAGGATGGCGACCGCGTCGAGGTGCTGCTGAACGCGACGACGCGCGTGGATGCGGCCGGCACCATCGTCGGCGTGGTCGGCGTCGGCCAGGACATCACCGCCATCAACCAGTCACAGGCGGAGCTCACGCGCGTCGCCAACGACCTGCGGCTGCTCATCGACACTGCCAACGCGCCCATCATCGGTACGGACGCGAACGGTCGCGTGAACGAGTGGAACAACAAGGCGGCCGACCTGACCGGCTATTCGAAGGTGGAGGTCGAGGGCCGCTACCTCGTCCGTGACTTCATCACGCCCGAGTACCAGGACTCGGTCGGCGAGGTGCTGCACAAGGCGCTGCAGGGCGAGGAGACGGCCAACTTCGAGTTCCCGTTCGTGACCAAGAGCGGGGAGCGCGTCGAGATCCTGCTCAACGCCACCAAGCGGACGGACCGAGAGGGCAAGATCGTCGGCATGGTCGGCGTTGGTCAGGACATCACCGAGCTCAAGCGCGGCCAGGCGGAGCTCACGCGCGTCGCCAACGACCTGCAGCTGCTCATCGAGACGGCCAACGCGCCCATCTTCGGCATCAATGCTGAGGGTCGGGTGAACGAGTGGAACCGGAAGATGGCGGCGATCACGGGCTTCTCGAAGGACGATGTGTTTGGCAAGGACCTCGTCGATGAGTACATCAGCGACGAGTTCCGCGAGTCGGTGCGCCAGGTCCTCGACGATGCGCTCCACGGCCAGCAGACCGACAACTACCAGGTGCCGCTCTTCACCAAGCACGGCGACCGCGTCGAGGTGCTGCTGAACGCGACGACGCGCGTGGACGCGGCCGGCACCATCGTCGGCGTGGTCGGCGTCGGCCAGGACATCACCGCCATCAACCAGTCACAGGCGGAGCTCACGCGCGTCGCCAACGACCTGCGGCTGCTCATCGACACGGCCAACGCGCCCATCTTCGGCATCGACACCAACGGCTTCGTGAACGAGTGGAACCGGAAGGCGGCGGCCATCACGGGCTTCTCGCGCGAGGAGGTGATGGGCAAGGACCTCGTCAGCCGCTTCATCACGCCCGAGTTTCAGGACTCGGTCGGCGAGGTGCTGCACAAGGCGCTGCAGGGCGAGGAGACGGCCAACTTCGAGTTCCCGCTCTACACGAAGGATGGGGAGCGCGTTGAGGTGCTTCTGAACGCGACCACGCGGCGCAGCGCGACAGGCGCCATCGTCGGCGTGGTCGGCGTCGGTCAGGACATTTCTGCGCGCAAGAACGCCGAGACGCGCGTGAGCATGCTCGCCGCCGACTTGCGGCTGTTGATCGACAGCGCGAACGCGCCCATCATCGGCATCGACGCGTTTGGCTGTGTCAACGAGTGGAACAACAAAGCGGCGGAGATCACCGGCTACGCGAAGGATGAGGTGGTTGGCTGCTACCTCGTCCGCGACTTCATCATCGACGAGTACAAGACGGCAGTCAACGGCGTGTTGCACAAGGCACTAGAGGGGAGCGAGACGGACAACTTCGAGTTCCCGTTCGTGACCAAGAGCGGGGAGCGTGTCGAGATCCTGCTCAACGCCACCACCCGCCGGGACACCACCGGTAAGGTCTTCGGCGTGGTCGGCGTTGGCCAGGACATCACCGAGCTCAAGCGCGGCCAGGCGGAGCTCACGCGCGTCGCCAACGACCTGCAGCTGCTCATCGAGACGGCCAACGCGCCCATCTTCGGCATCAATGCTGAGGGTCGGGTGAACGAGTGGAACCGGAAGATGGCGGCGATCACGGGCTTCTCGAAGGACGATGTGTTTGGCAAGAACCTCGTCGATGAGTACATCAGCGACGAGTTCCGCGAGTCGGTGCGCCAGGTCCTCGACGATGCGCTCCACGGCCAGCAGACCGACAACTACCAGGTGCCGCTCTTCACCAAGCACGGCGACCGCGTCGAGGTGCTGCTGAACGCGACGACGCGCGTGGACGCGGCCGGCACCATCGTCGGCGTGGTCGGCGTCGGCCAGGACATCACCGCCATCAACGACTCGCAGGACGAGCTCTCGCGCCTAGCCAACGACCTGCAGCTCGTCATTGAGGCCGCCAACGCGCCCATCTTCGGCATCGACACCAACGGCACCGTGAACGAGTGGAACCGGAAGGCGGCGGCCATCACGGGCTTCTCGCGCGAGGAGGTGATGGGCAAGGACCTCGTCCGCCGCTTCATCACGCCCGAGTACCAGGACTCGGTCGGCGAGGTGCTGCACAAGGCGCTGCAGGGCGAGGAGACGGCCAACTTCGAGTTCCCGCTCTTCACCAAGTCGAACGAGCGCGTCGACATTCTGCTGAACGCGGCCACTCGGCGGGGCACAGACGAGGTTGTCGTCGGCGTGGTCGGCGTCGGCCAGGACATCACCGAGCTCAACCGCGAAAAGGCGGAGCTGACGCGGATCGCCAACGACCTCACGCGGCTCATTGACTACGCCAACGCGCCCATCTTCGGCGTCGACCAGACGGGGCGGGTGAACGAGTGGAACCGCAAGGCGGTCGAGATCACCGGCTTCGAGAAGGCCGACGTGCTGGGCCGAGTGCTCGCCGAGGACTTCATCACGCCGGAGTTTCGCGACTCGGTCAAGCAGGTGCTCGACAACGCGCTCGAGGGGAAGGGGACGGACAACTTTGAGTTCCCGCTCTTCTCCCAGTCCGGCAAGAAGGTCGAGGTGCTGCTCAACGCGACGACGCGCGTCGACGCCAACGGCCACCCGATCGGCGTCATCGGTGTCGGCCAGGATATCACCGAGAGAAAGGACGCCGAGGAGGAGGTCATCCGGCTGGCGTCTGACCTGCAGCGGCTGATCGACTCTGCGAACGCGCCCATCCTGGGCGTCGACCAGGCCGGGCGCGTCTCCGAGTGGAACTCGAACCTCTCGACCATCACCGGCTACAGCAAGCAGGAGGTCCTCGGCCTCAGGCTCGAGGAGTGCCGCTTCGTCGACGAGGCGAGATCAGCCGAGATCACCCGAGACACACACACACAAGAGAGATCACCGAGATCACCCGAGATCACCCGAGACACAAGAGATCACCAGAGACCACCCTCGCCGCCGCCGCCCTCGCTACTGCTGCCCTCGCCGCCACCGCCCCCACCGCCCATCGCCCTCGCCTCCGCAGGCGAACTCTGCGTCGGTCGCGGAGGTGTTCGGCGAGGCGCTGCTCGGCACAGACTGCCAGAACTTTGAGTTTTCGGTCATCGCGAAGGACGGAGGCCGGGTCGAGCTGCTGCTCAACGCGGCGTCGCGCCGCAACGTGGCGGGCGAGATCGTTGGCGTCGTCGGCGTCGGCCAAAACATGTGCGCGGTAGCACTTCCGAGACACCTTCTGCTCCGCCCCCCCCCCCCTCCGCGCGCGCCGCCCAGCACACGCCGAGAGCACACGCCGAGCACACGCCGAGCACCCGCCAAGCACACGCCACGCCTCGCACACGCTTTGCACACGCTTTGCCACACGCTTTGCATCACACGGCTGCTGAACGCGTCCGCGCCGCGTCCGCAGCACCGAGCGAAAGTATATCGAGCGCGCGCAGCTCGACGCGGCCAAGATGCGCGCATCCAACGACGCAAAGGGGAACTTCCTCGCCGCCATGTCGCACGAGATGCGGACGCCGCTCAACGGCGTGCTCGGCATGCTGCAGCTCGCCATGGGCCACCAGCTGCCCGAGCTGGCGCGTCAGAACGTGAGCAACGCCGTCATGTCTGCGGAGCACCTGCTGAACCTGGTCAACGACATCCTCGACGTCTCCAAGATTGAGGCGGGCAAAATCGAGCTCGAGAACAAGCCGTTCAAGGTGCGCATCCTCGCCGGCGTAATCTCGGGTCCTCTCGGGTCCTCTCGGGTCCTCTCGGGTCCTCTCGGGTCCTCTCGGGTCCTCTCGGGTCCTCTCGGGTCCTCTCGGGTCATCTCGGGTCATCTCGGGTCATCTCGGATCTTTCGGGTCTCCGCAGGTGGGGCGCATCCTTGCGGGCGCGCTCGACATCGTCAACCCGCAGGCGCGCAGCAAGGGCCTCGCGCTCAACATGTCGCTCTGCCCCGACTTTCCGATCTACGTGCGCGGCGACCAGCAGAGGCTGCGGCAGGTGCTGCTCAACCTCCTGTACAACGCGGTCAAGTTCACCATCAAGGGCGGCATCACTCTCTCTGTCGACAAGCTCGTCGAGGAGGCGGACGACGCGGAGATGGCCGGGTACCACTTCATCTCCATCTCGGTCGCCGACACCGGCGCGCCGGGATCGCGAGGCGGCGCAGGCCAGCAGTGGACGCGCCGCCTCCTCAGAGCCGAGAGGCCTGTGCATAGGCATTGGCATCGAGGAGGCGGCACAGGTCAAGCTGTTCGGCATGTTCACCAAGATCCAGGACAACCGCGTGCGCAACCCGCTCGGCGTCGGACTCGGGCTCGCCATCTGCAAGCAGGCGCGCGCGCCTCCCCCGGGAGCTGAGAGAGTAGAAGCACGGCAGACGCGCCCCGTAGAAACCCACGACGCGACACCCGCCCACTCCTTGGCAGCAGTGCGCACGCACACGTCTGCCACGATTCCCTCGCTCAACTCTGCTGCCTGCCGCTCCTCCACCGCCCCTGTGCGCCACAGCTCGTCGAGCTGATGGGCGGCAACATCTCCGTCTCGTCAAAGTACGGAGAGGGCTCCACCTTCACCTTCACTCTCAAGCTCGAGAAAGTGGACAACACGGACGAGGTGGTCGAGGAGGCGGAGCAGGCCCGCCCTCCGGAGCCCACCTCCCTTCACCCTCTCGCACGCACGCACGCACGCACGCACGCACGCACGCGCGGACGGACGGACGGACGGTGTCGCACCCGCGTGTGTGCTGCGTTTGACGGTATGCCCCTCCCCACAACCGCTCGGCAGGTGTGCGAGGACTTCTCCTTCTCCGCCGCCGATGAGACGGAGGCCTGCTTCCCGCCCGACGCGGCGGAGGGCCTCCTCGGACCCCTCCCTCGGCCCCTCCCGGACCCTTCTCGGAACCTTCGCACAGGCGTGCATGCCGGCCAACGCGGCGGACGTGCTCGTGGTCGAGGACAACGAGTTCAACATGGAGGTGGTCACGACGATGCTGCAGCAGCTCGGGCACAACGTGACGATGGCGTGGAACGGCTCCGAGTGCCTCGAGATGCTCTTCGACGCGAACGGCAGCCCGTTCCGCCATCCAGAAGGGAGCCCGAGAGCACCCGAGAGCACCCGAGAGCACCCGAGAGCACCCGAGAGCACCCGAGGCAGGGCAACGCCGCCCCCGCAGAGCAGCACAGGCACGCCGACGGTGCCATGGACCCGCCCCATAGGCAACGCCGTCCCCGCCCAAAAGACGCGCGCGCTCTCGCCGCCGCGCAACCGGCTGCTGTACGACGTCATCTTTATGGACTGCAACATGCCCATCATGGACGGGTACGAGGCGAGCAAGTACATCCGCAAGGCGGAGAAGCGGCTCAAGCTGGCGCCCGTCCCCATCATCGCGCTCACCGCCTACGCCATGGCGGGCGATCGCGACAAGTGCCTCGAGCACGGCATGACCGACTACATCACCAAGCCCATGTCCAAGGCTCCGCTCGGCACAGCTCTCGCAAAGGAGGCTGCTCTGAGCCGCGCCTCTTCACACGTCGAGCCGTGAACAGGCCACGCTGAGCAGAGTCATTGCAAAGCATCTGCTCCACGACGGGGGCACGCCCTCCGTCTCCGGCAGCGACGCCGCGGGCGGTGCGAGGCGGGTGGAGTCGAGTGTGGCCCCTGCGCGCGCCGTGCCGTCCTCCTCGCAGCCACGCGGCGGGCCTTCCGACGCCGCGGCGCCCCCCTCCTCCTCCTCCGCGAACGGGCTGCCGACGCTCGACGTACCGCTGGCCGTGTCGCAGCTGGGGGGCGACGAGGAGCTCTTCCGCACGCTGCTCACCCAATTCGTCGAGGCGACCGAGTGCCTCCGGAGGCACACCTACGGCGCGTCCGGGCTGGACGCGTCGACCTCACCGCGCGCTCTAGGTGACGCGGCCCGTCGCTGACGGCCTCGCCAATATCACCGCCTCGGCCGACATCGACATGAAGCGGCTGTCGACGGTGGCGCACACCCTGCGCGGCAGCGCCGCGTACGTCGGCGCGGATAACACGTCTCGCGGCTGCACACGTCCAGGACACGTCCACGACATGTCCGAGACATGTCCCCGCAGGCGCCTGCCGCCGCTCGAGCGCGCGCAGCACACCTCTACTTCCTTCGACTCGCGCCGAGTCCTTTTCTAGGCGCTTGCCGCCTCTCGAGCGCCGCCTCCGAGCTCGAGAAGCGGGCCGAGGAGGGCAAGGCCGGGGCCGACGCGGGCGCGAGCTGCCGCTCCCTCGTCCGGGAGGTCTGCGACGCCTTCAAGGCCGTCGAGCGGCACGAGCTGCTGCACAAGGAGGCAGGGGCGGGCGCGGGCGGGGCCGCCGCCAGCTGGAGGGAAGCAGCGGTCGGCGCAAAGCCGCCAGCCCGGCCCGAGGAGTGGTCGGGCAGGGCCTCTCCGGGCGGGAGCGGCGGCGCGCACGCGGCCCCGTCGAGGCTGGCGGCGGCGGGCGGCGTGGAGGGCGGCTCGACGCGGACGGGGGAGCTGGAGCAGGTGGTATCGATGCTTCTCTCAGCCAAGAGGCAGACGCTCGACGAGGCGAGGCTTGTGGCGGCGGAGCCGCACAACCAGGAGAGGCTGCGCAGCCTGGCGCGCGCCGCCGAGTTGTACCACACAGCTTCCCTCTCTGCCGCCATCGGAGCCGACCTGCTGATTGCAAACGCGCGCCACCTCCGCCACATCCTTCGCGCTGTGCGGGACGAGCCCCGCACCGGCCGGCGCGTGGAGGCGGCGGCGGTCGAGGAGGCGGCGCTGACGGCGATGGCGGCGCTGCGCAGCGACGTCTCGGTCGAGCTGCCGAAGGTGTGCAGTCGGTCAGTCCGTCTGACACACCTCCTAGCACGGAGGACGGGCCCACACGCACACACACGCTGCGCACGATTGGCTCGGGAGCCGACACGAGGCATTGTGTCGCCGCCGAATCACTGGGTCCGGACTGCTGGACACATACAGCGCCACCTCGTGAGCTGTCGTGTGAGCCGTGATCTGTGCCAAAGGTGTCTGAGGCGAGCAATCTGCTGGACGGCGTCTCGGAGCCGGAGCTCGCCTCGGCGATCGACAACAAGCTCATCCCGCGCATGCGCTCGCTGCTCTCCGACATCGAGGAGGCGATCGCCGACTACAACATGGGCATGCTGCAGACCAAGGCACACACACACGCACACGCACACACACACACACACACACACACACACACACACACACACACACACAACATCGCTCACGCGCACCGGGCCTTGCGCTTCAAATGCCGTGGGGCCCTCTCGTCTCGACGTGGAGTCGCGAGGGTCGCCCCCCCCCTTGCCCCACCACCTTGTGTGTGTATGTGTGTGCGTGGAGAAGCTTACCTGACCTGACCTTAGGCGCACACCCTCAAGACGATGGCTCTCTACATCGGCGCGGTCAAGCTCGGCCGCTCGGCGCAGGGCCTGCAAGAGGCGTCGTCGATTGGGCACACGGGCTCGCTGCGCCGGCTGCTGCAGGAGCTGCGAAGCGAGTGCGGAGCGGTGGACGAGTGGATCTCGCGCACCTTTGCGATGCGGACGCTGCAGCCGGCGACGGTGCACGTGGCGCGGCTCATCCACAAGAAGATCGAGCTCTGCATCGCCGACATCATCTCCGCGTGCGGCTGCAGCGACCTGGCGGCGATCGAGGAGGAGGCGCTGCACCTCGAGCAGCCTGCACGCGGAGATGACCTGAGATGGCCCGAGATCACCCTTGACACCCGAGAGTAGGCGCTGCACCTCAAACAGCTCGCCCTCTCGCACGGCCACCACTTCGACCTGCTCGCCATCGCCGCGTGCCGGCTGCAGCACGCCGCGCGCTCGTCCTGCGACACGGGCGCCGGCGCGCTGCTCGGCCACGTCAACGCCGTCGCCGCCGCCATCGAGCACTTGCGCGTCGAGTCACACGCGTCGGAGAAGAAGCGGCTCACGTCGTGGGCCGCGTGGCAGCAGGCCAAGAGCGGGCTGCAGTCCTTCTTCTCGCTGATGATCCGCGAGGACGTGGCGCACGACGGCGGCGACCAGGTCCTCTCGCAGCTTCCGGCGCTTGACGACCAAAAGGGGTTGCGGAACGTCGGCGACCACGCGGCGACGCTGCAGGAGTTGCGCGAGTCGTTCCTGCTGCTGCTCCCGCTGTGGGCAAAGGCGACGCAGGACGCGGCGCGGCTGTCCAACATGCTCGCCATCGCGGGAGAGGCGTACGTGTTGCACACCCTCGCCGAGCTGGTCGGTGCGCCGCGCCTCGCGCACATCGCGCTCCGGCTGCGCACGGCGTCGACGATCTACGCGCCGTCGTACGCGCCGACGACGGCGCGCGCCGAGCCGGGCACCGGACCGGAGCCAATCGGGAGCCACTCGGGAGCCACTCGGGAGCCGCGCTGGACACACGCTGGACACACTCCGGAGACACTCTGGAGAGACTCTGGAGACGCGCGCGCCCCTCGTTTCGCGAGCCCCGCGTGAGCTCGCTGCAGGTGTCCGTGCTCGTGCCGCTCGCCCTTCGCGAGGTCAAGGTGTGCCTCGCGTACGTGCTGCAGCGCTGCCTGCCGCGCGCGTCGCGCGTGCCGAGCCTGGCGCGCTTGTCGTCCCTCTCGTCCAACGAGCGCGCCAGCCCCGCCGCCGGCCCCGAGCCGCTCGCGGCGGAGGCGGCGAGGCGGCGGAGCACGGGAGCGGCACCCTCTCCGGACTGCGGCCTCGCGAGCAGCCCGGCGTGTAGTCCAGCGCGCGAACTGGCCGCGTGCAGGCCGTTCCTAGACCGTTCCTAGACCGTTCCTAGACCGTTCCTAGACCGTTCCTAGACCGTTCCTCGACCTTTCCTAGACTGTTTCTGGAACCTTGCTGCAGGGGGCCAGCTGCTTGGGCTGCCTCGTGCGAGCACGGCGACGGCGCGGGGGCCCTCGACGCGGCGCCGCGCATGCGCATGGCGGTCCGCATGCTTTTCCGGTGACGAGCGGTGTCTGTGAACGGCGTCTCTTCACACCTCAGCTGTGAACAGGTCCGCATGCCGGTGACGAGCCTGCGCTTTGTGATTGCCGCGGCGAACGACTTGCTGCGCGCCGTGGAGCCGGCGGCGAGCGGCGACGCGGGTGCCGCTGAGCTGACGATGGCGTACGAGCAGGCCGCCGTCGCCATCGGCATGGCGCAGCGCATGCTCGGCGACGGAGAGGGGAGGTTATAGCGCTCATGCGCGCACCGCGAGACGTGTGTTCGATATCCTCGCGCGCATACCCATACGATACGCTCCGGCGCTCGACCCCCGAGTGGCACCGGTGCCGTGTTTCGAGCCGCCAGGGGCTGGCCGCCAGCCACGGTGGGGGAGGTATTACTGAGTACAGAGTGGCAATGAGAGAGAAATGGCTGTGTCCCTGTCGCACACGCACTTTTACCTACCTATCGAAGCATTTATTTCATCGCGACCCTTCTTCGTTCGACGTTCCACGACTTGGACTTCCCCTGCGGCATCGCCGTGTAATCACCGTGTATGAGCGACCTTGAGAGATTGCGGTGTGCGCCAGCACGAAACTCTGGCAGAGAGTTCGAAAACTGGTGCTTAAAGAGCCGTATAGTATATTAGAATTATGTACCTTAGAGAGATCGATTTATAATAGAGGGCCCACAGCGTCCTAATCTAAAATCTGAGGATTCAGGATTGAGGCATCGAAAGAGTGAGGCCAAAGTGAGTTTATGGATGGGTGAGAACGATGCGCGACACGGGGAGGCACGCGGACCGACTCGTCGGCGACTATGCTGCACGCCGTTTCAGAATTTTTCTCAGCGTGAGCGAGACGTGGAAGAGTGCCACCGTCGGGTAGGACGGGTCGGCCCGGAGCAGCGGAGTAGCCGTCGTGGTCGCGGCGAGCAGCGCCGGCCACTCCGGCGCCGCGTCGGCAACATGGGAGCATGTCCACCGCCACTTCGCGGTCGCAGCGCTGTTGTCGCCCAAAACGCCGCTATGTACCTTTTCGGGCAAACCATCGAGCTGCATGTCGATTTCGACTTGACGGGCGCATGCAGGCATCACGTCTCCATGCGCCCGTCAAGTCGGAGCCAGTCTGCGGCGACCACAGCGCTCAGAAAGGTACATAGCGAGCTTTTCAGAGTCAAGCGATTGAGCGCGAAATCCCACACTGGTGGATTTTGGGGCGCTGTGGGCCCCCTATTTATAACATAGAAGAAATAGACGAAAAACACGCGAGCTCCAACAGAGCTGCAGCTGGAGTGCATGTGCGATGTGGCTCCCTGCCTGAGCGTGACTGTGTCTACAAATCAACCGTTGCACCTGTAAGCGTCTCGCTGATCTCCCATAGCCTCTTTGCGAGGGCGGGGTCGGCGGCAGCGTCGTTGGGCTTCACCGCCTTCATCTTGTCAAAGTAGAGTGTCTTTGGGCGGCGCGCGCGGTCGCCGCCCGCGTCTGCCGCCGCGGCGAGGAAGACCTGCACGCGAGACACTGCGAGCGTGAGGGGCATGCGCGCTCCGCGGCGTGCGTGGGGGCGCGCGGCTGCCGGGTCAAATCCTAGAGCTGCGCGTCCGGAGGCCATAAGACAGGCGGTGGCGGAGCGTTGTCGGCAGGCGGCTACGGTTTGGGCGTGTCTTCTGTGCCTCTCTATGTCTCTGCAGCACCTGTGTGTTTGCGCCCACCTCGACGGGGATCACCACCTTTGGGGGAGGGGGAGGGGGGGGGGGGGGGGGAACTTGAGGGCGAGTGAGGGGGGGAGGGGAGAGAGACAAGAGTTAGGAAGAATGGGCGGAGAGGGAGGCCTCTAGAAAAAGAGGGGGGCGCGGGCGAGGGAGGCGAGGAGAGGCAAGGGGAGGAGGGGACGGGAGGAGGAGGGGGCGGCGCGACGCCGAGACGAGCAGCGTCTCGAGACATAGCCGAGATATGCCCGAGTGATAGCCGAGATGTCGCCGAGATGTCGCCGAGATGTCGCCGATGCCTTGTCAAGCAGCGTCTCTTTGAGAAGCTTGCCGACGCCGGTCGGCGCCGCCGCCGTCTCCGACAGGCGCACGTCCTCCGCGCCCACGCCGCCCATGATGAAGCGCCCCAGGTCTGTCTGCACGACCCCAGGGTGCAGGCTGACTGCGGAGCCCTTGAGGCCCGCCGCCTCGATACGGCTCTGGAGCGGTGTGGCGGGGGGGGGAGGGGAGGGGGCGCGTCTTTGGCCACGCCGCTAATATGCCTCTCGGCTGCACCTCGGCTGCACCTCGGCTGCACCTCGGCTGCATCTCGGCTGCACCTCGGCTGCCTCTCGGCTGCGTCTCGGCTGCGTCTCGCCTGCATCTCGACTGTGAAGAGGACGTTGGCAGCCTTCGAGAGCCCGTAGTTGCCCCACCCAGCCGCCGCGTACTCCGGGTCCAAGTTCGCGTCGAGGGCCGCCTGTTGGATTTCGTTGGATTTGGGCACCGGGTTGGTAGGGTACCGCGCGTCGGCGCGCACGGCGCCTTGATCGATTCGGACGTCGCGAGCCGATGTGCGTCGGACGACACGGTGATGATCCGGAAGCCGGCGGCGGAGCGCTTGAGAGCCTACCACACCACCCACGGGACTGAACCCACACTGGATTCGGTGCTCTGGAGGGGCAGAGACGGAGAGTTTGTCAGCCAGTCCGTGTGACACCGGCCCCTGGCACGAGAGGATCTGGGGAGACAGAGGGAGATATGGGGAGACAGTCAGACAGTCAGCGTGTCACACGTCCCTAGCACGGGCGACGGGGCACACGCACACACGCAGAGCACACAGGGCGTTGCACACGAGCGCGTTGTGTGCGTTCTCAGGGAGAGGCAGCACCAAGCGTGCAAGAGTCAGAGGGGCAGCGGTGCCCCCCCCCCCCCCCCACACACACACAGACAAGACTACGGCTTCGGCATCTAGGCTTGAGAGCGGGCATCAGCGCGGCGACAAGCGCAAAGTGGCCGAGGTGGTTGATCCCCACCGTCTTTTCGAACCCATCCGCGGTGACGAGGTGCTGCGGGATCGCCATCACGCCAGCATTGTTCAGCAGCACGTCGATCGCCGCCTCCTTAGCACCGAGCGCCGCATCGAGCCGCGTTGGCAAAGTCCGCACCTACGGACATGTCCAGGACGTGTGCTGGCTCGGCCGGGTCGTCGCAGGGGAGAGGCCGCACGCGTCTCGGAAGTGTCTCGGAGGTGCTTTGGAGGCGTCTCGGAGGTGTCTCGGAGGTGCTCTCGGAAGTGTCTCGGAGGCGTCTCGAAAGTGTCTCGGAGGTGCTCTCGGAAGTGTCTCGGAGGCGTCTCGAAAGTGTCTCGGAGGTGCTCTCGGAAGTGTCTCGGAGGCGTCTCGGAAGTGTCTCGGAGGTGCTCTCGGAAGTGTCTCGGAGGCGTCTCGAAAGTGTCTCGGAGGTGCTCTCGGAAGTGTCTCGGAGGCGTCTGTCTCGGAGGTGCTCTCGGAGGTGCTCTCGGAAGTGTCTTGGGTCGCCGCACCGAGCGGAGGTCGGCCAAGTCCAAGCTGACAGCGGTCACGCGCTGTGCTTCGCTCGCCTCCGCGCTCACCTTGCGTGCCGCGTCCTCCGCCTTCGCCTGCGTGCGGGCGGTCACCACGACGTTTGCGCCGCCAGCCGCCAGCCGCCTACAAGCCGAGGCGTCCTCCCACGTCTTTGGGTGTCGCCGAGACTGCCGTCGAGGCGGCGGCCGCCGTGCTTGGCGCTCTCCAGGCCCAGGCCGGTGTTGGCGCCAGTGATCAGCACAGTCGTGCCCGCGAGCGAGCCAGGCGCTGGCCGGTAGACGGCGGAGCTGTCGGCGAGTGCTGGAGCTGGTAGGCCAGCAGCAATCCCTGCAGCGCCGCCGACGCCCGTCGCAAGCACCGCGCGGCGGCTCAGCGGCGACAGCCGGCTCAGCAAGGACGGAACCGCTGGTGGGAGGATCGCAAGCGAGAGGACGAATATGCTCATGATTTTCCACTTGGGAAAGAAGAATTTTGCGTGCCCTCTCCGTTTCTTTTCTTTTTTTCCCAATGGCGCCGTTAAAATCCCTGTGTGGTGGCGGCGTGCCGTCCTCCCATCCATCTCTTGGGCAGTCCGTTTTCTTTCTTTTCTTTCCAACCAAGGGCGCCGTAAAACGCCGCTTGGACAGAGTTCGCCGAGAGGCGACAGAGGCCGCGAGAGCAAGGGATCGGCAGGCGTCGTCGTCGTCGATCGAAGAACGAGGCAGAGGAGAGCGACTAGTCAGATCAGAGCACAGAGGATAAAACAGGCAGGAGGAGAGAGAACGACGAGAGTGAGAAGACCGGCGACGCTGCGAGAATCGGCGAGAGACGTGTCTTGCCCGTTAGCGTTACCGCAGCGGTCGCCCTCCCCACACAAATGGAGCTCGCTGACGAGTCCGGATCATGTGATCTGGCGCCGGCCGGATGCGGATTCATGGGCGCAGCCCTCGACATGCAAAGGAAGCTCGATGGTAGTACACAGGATTCAGACAACCGGCCAGGGCGGTTGCACGGCGACGTGGAGCTGGCCTTAATCTTCACTTGCGCGCCTTGCGCATCTTGGCGGCGAGGAGGACCGCGATAGCCGCCACGCCCAACGGCGAGACCAGCGCAAAGGCGGCGAAACCGGCGGAGACGGCGAGGTCGCCCCCACAAGGAAGGCGGCCGGGAGGAGCGGGGCGGGGAGGGCCGCCTTTAGGTGCTTCGGGTGGGCCTTGGTGACGAGTGGCTCAATGAGCGCGTCGTAGTACGCCTGTCGGTGTGAGGGCCCCATACTCTTTCAGGCTCGGGGTGAGGAGGGCAGAGGAGGTGCTAACACAGGCGAGGCGAGGCGCGCGCCTGCGCGGTCTCCGGGAAGAGGTACGAGAGCAGAGATTGGAGAGCGAGAGCGGGAGCGGTACGAGGTAGGAGGAGAGCATGATGTACTCGGCGACCCCCTCGCTGAGGGAGGGTGTAGAGGATGTAGAGTGTAGGGCGCTGTAGAGCTGTAGAGATGTGGAGCGCACGCTGTAGAGCTGTAGAGCTCTACATCCGCCGCGTGACGAACTGCGTGCTTTGTAGAGCGATGTAGAGGCGCTCTACAACCCCCTCTCTCTTTTCTCCCAGTAAGCTAAAAGTACGTACAACGTGGAATCTCTACAACAAACTCTACATCATAAGCGGCGAACGAGGCACGGCCGCTCTCCGACATGAGGCGCGTTGCACTTGCCAGTGCTGCCCTGGCCTTCTGTCTGCCCGCCCAATGGGTAGCAGGTGCCTCTGCTGCTGTGGCATGCCTCACGGCTGCGACTGGCCGGCGCCTCGGCGCGTCAGCTCGGCTCGGCGTAGCGATCGTGGCCAGCACAACTCGCCTGGACTCAACGCTCAGCCAGGAGCTCCCGCACGCGCTGGCGCGAGTCATGGCGCATGCAACGCGTCTGAATGCTCGCCTCGCCTCGCGCAAATGCGACCGTCCTCGCAGCCGACAGTCCACCGCCTGCTAAAGAAGCACTGCGATGAATGCGGCACCGGCGACGCATGGCAGGCTGGTCATGACGCAGTTATAGGGTGTTGTGTGCCGTCAGAGGGCCTCTCTGTGTGTCAGTGATAGTCAGGGCCGTCCATCAGAGCTCCAGTAAGCTCGGAGACACCCCATTAGTGCGACTCGACCTCTTTGAGTCACTGCCTTCCCGGCGGTTTGGCTGTAGAGCCTCTACAACAAACTCTACAGCAAAATCGCGCTCTACATCGCTCTACAACGCAGGCGCATCGTCACGCGGCGGATGTAGAGCTCTACAGCTCTACAGCGCTCCAGAGCGCGCTACATCTCTACAGCTCTACAGCGCTCTACACTCTACATCCTCTACACCCTCCCTCAGCCCCCTCGCTCCGGGCGGGGTAGGTGGAGGCGAGCACGCCGCCTTGAGTGAGGATCTTGCCCGAGGTGGTGAGCGGGTTGGAGCGGCCGCACACTGCTCGGTACCCCCCCTGCACAACTAAGCTCATGGCCGACCCCCCCCCCAGCAGCAGCGCTCTGCTGCTGGGGGGGTCGAGACCCCCCCCAGCAGCAGCTGGGGGGGTCGAGACCCCCCCCCAGCAGCAGCGCTCTGCTGCTGGGGGGGTCCGGACCCCCCCCCAGCAGGAGCGCTCTGCCTGTGTGGGGGGTCCTGGCATCTGTACAGACAGCAGCTGTAAGTTGCATGCGTTCCAATGGCGAGAATTTATGGTCGGCATCAAAATCAGTGGTCTCACCGGCGGGCCCTCCTACTGCCAACCGGGAGGTGCGGGGCACGCCAGCCTCTCTTCTACGCCTCTCGTGCCTCGCGGCGCCTCTGCTTCAAGGGGGGAAGATACGGCTCTCGCAGCCCATCATACGCCGTGGCACAGCGGGGATCACAGCGGGCTGTACAAGATATTGTTCCCTATCTTCGCATGCTCGTCATTGGTGATATCCGCGCGAGGTCATACGCCACAGGCCAGCAATCACTCGATGATGAGACTACACTGATGTATAGGCGCACATGTGGTATTACAAGATAGACTCACATGGTCACAAGTGTTAGTAAAACGCCAGCACTCGACACGACGAAGGTGTATTGGGCTCGAAGGCGCGGTGAACCGACAACCGCCTCGAGCGTACCGCTCAAATACGAGCCGAGGGAGGGAGGGGGGGGGGGGGGGGCAAAAAAGCCGGAAAACTGGGTCCAGTGCGCTCTGCTGCTGGGGGGGGCAAAACCCCCCCCCCCTTTTAAAACAGGGAAAAACTTATTTTTGCCGGGG